GAAGCAAGCTGCTGAAGTGGCTACATTTTGCATACATTTCATGGAGCTCTGAAAGAGCCGTGGCTGATTTTGCCAGTTAATTTAGATGCAGAATACACACGGTAACTGGGTTTGAGACTGGTTGCACATGGAAATCGTCTCGGTACTTGACGTGACGGGAGGTGCAGTGTGTGAGCGTGCTCAGCCCACTCATTTTTTTATACTACTAGTCTTTATGTCCCTACCTAGCCTCATCTCCCAGTCTCTGATTTCACGTTGGCAATGACAGACTTATATGAACACACATAGACAGACACACACACACACACGCACACATCAATACACTTCACATGGGCTCTCAATAGGCCTTGCGCACTCGCTTCCTTCTAGAACAACACATGCGCACAGTTGTCTTCGGCTTCGACACATTTCCTCTGCTTCTCTATAGGTGAGCCATCATTATCTAGAAAGAGTGCCAGTGTTTGGCCACAGTGTGCCTTCTTCCCAGCGTTGAACTGAGCAGCCGAGACACAGGCTGCTGGTGGTGACACTGCTGTCAGGGGCATGCCTCATTACAGCTGTTGCAAATGTCAAAGCACTAAAGTAATCACTCACAGCTCTACAGGATGCATGTTCATATACAGTAGTAATTTATTCTATGGTAAGAGGGGTTAATAGTTGCATACATATAAAATTACAATGATAGAGATAAGTGGACTCCATATGTTTTCTGTTTGCCAGATGGCTGCGTTTCTAAAATGACAGCAAATTTCTAGATATTTGCAGCAAATAATAGTAAGGTAGACGTTTTCATGCAACCACCAACTTCTGTCAAAGTTATTAGTGTCAATCCAGTATGTTTTGAGCTATTTATGATATATATATATGTAGACAGAGAGATTGACCCAGAATATACCATAAAAAGAGCAGAGTCTGTGGGGATGTTTTCTTTTCCAATGTGTTGCCAGTCAATGATTTGGCTATCTGCATAGCTGCGCCAAGTAAGCAGTGAGGACGGAATGTCTGCATTGGAAAAAGAGGATATTTTCCAGTCCTAAAGCTACTCCAACTCTACATGGGACTTATAAAGTGACTGTTGTTCAATGGCCATTTTTGTTGTTTCTCATTGTTCTGCATTAAACAGTGCATGTTTCAGTTTTATTGTAATGTAAAGAGCCTGTTTTTAGGTTACAGCTTTCTTAGGGAAAAGAAATGTTTTGTTTCACAACAATCACATTACCTCCAAATTATCAGCTATCACTTTCTCAGCTTGTTCTGCTCATACACGTGAGTACCTAATAAGACCCTTTATCACACTGGTTATTGACAGTTTGATTATGTCAGATAACAAACAATGAACTTGGGCCCGGTTATGAATAGTTTTGAATGCCACTGTAGCTTGCAACTTTAAGATGTGTTACTAAGCAACATTGGCATTCATCTGGAGCTCCACAAATCATTTCCTTTTAGCTCTCTAATGGTCTTCATCAGCTCTTGAGGGACAGAGATTTCTCTTCAGCCATTAAGTTATCCACTTCTGACTTCTAGTGAAGTGCTAACCATCTGTTTTGTGCTAGAATGAAGGGGTAGAATGGGCTTTAAAAGCTGGATCAACACCTGCACGCCGTGGCTATAAATTCCTACATTAGCCGTGAGAGTGAAGCAAAACAGTCGCTGGCCACAAAACTAAAGCAGCGAGCCAACCCAAATTCCTGGATGATTCACAGAACTGAAGCGGGATCGCATTGATGGCGGATAATTCTGTTCACCGTGACAAAAAATAAATAAATAAACAGTGGTGTTGCATAAACTAGTGAAGCAAACATCTGACACGCATGCCATCACATTAAAGAAATGGATATCTGAGGAAGCTAGCGTTTGTGATCTCTGAAATGATTACTCGCGGCATTGACTCCTGCATGTTGTCACAGTACACACGTGGAGGCACAACACTGCTGCGGCATTGTTGTTAGACCTCAAACCTGGAATGTTCCAAGGGCAGCTATAAATTCTCTTCAGTAATTGAATAGCTGTGAAGTTATTCATCTGGGCAGGGTCTGCTCTCCGTGCACTTCAGGTGCAGCATGCTCGCTACCTTTGACAACTGTGTTCTTGTGCACAATATAAAGGTGCCAGACTGGACTCCTTGACCTTAGAGTTGACTCTTAATTCACGAAGGAGCGAGGAAAAAATGCTATTATGGCATTCCGTCGGCCTTGTGCCTCGTCTGATCAGGAACACAAATGCAAAAACGGGCGCAGGAGCGGAGGAAAGAATTAGGCACTTTAAAATGTTTGCATAACGAGCACCTTCTCCATGCCACGGTTCTCTTCTTTTTAATCACCCGCACTCTCCAGACCACCTACACCCTTCTTCATGGTCATAGACAGGACCGACGGGCTGATGTATGATCCGAGGAATTAATCTGCTAAGCCTGATTGCCATTACCGCCATGCGATTATGCACCTTGATTACCGAGCCCACCCCGAGGACCATGACGTGCCCCAGTGCACATTTGAAAGGTGCGCATAAAATTATCTGGTGATTACCCTACAATAGATCAATCCACATGCGAATGAGACTGTGTGGCCATATAGACTGTCTCAAGTAGGACTGTGATTATTAATAGGTACTCGAGGTGACCTGATATCTGAAGCTTGAAGCACTAAAACCGCCTGTGTCTTTCATGTAAGCAAATAAATTCCTTTTGATACATTCTGAAAGTCATTATTGGATTATTGTTGTAGAGGCAGAATTGTTTGGAGTTCAAGCATGAATAAAAGGGATGTTGGGCTCTTCACATGTACTTGTCCCTCTTGAGATAGACTTCAGACATTTAACGGCACCACAGATGTGGATGGGCTTCACATTGAGGAGGATGACATGCTTGGTTATAAGATCCATAATATCGGGGACAATAACAACAAAATGGCAGTTTAACATCTTGAGGTCAGTTTTTTTGGATGTGCATGACGCAAAAGAAAATGAGGAAAAAATAGACTTTTGTGTGCCAATCAAAACACTTCTGCTTGCAAATATTGTGCATGTAAGTACACATCATTCTTAAATGACACTTATCCATGGAATTGGGGCCCATTTAATCCCTCACTGTTGTTTTTTTAAAGATTTTCAAAAACCCAATCCCGTGCCAAAGTACTCATTTGGCACTGCACATAAACAGTCCAGTCTACTTATCTAGCAGCAATCCTACATCAAGCGATTAATTGGATGAGACAATGTAGAAGTTAAATCACTCCTCTCTATGGCTTCTTCCCCGGTTAGACATGGAATATGTTAGTCATCCAGACATGCAGCCTTGAATAAACCCCTCCAGTGCAACATTTTTTAATGTTAACATATTTGCATTAGTAATATCCTGGCAAAGATTTAATGGACTTGATATGCCACCATTCACCGTGATCCCTGTTCTTAGAAAGCATGATTCTCAGTGCCCGCCCTGCACAATTACTTAATGGCTTCAGCTATTTTGCATATCTACAGGAGCAACAAAACCCATAAATGTCAGTCTGCGGAAAAGTACTGATTTATGTCGTCTGTCTCTATCAAGGCGCGTTTACAACATGGCAAACACATTCAGTAAATACAGCACTGCTAAAAGCTCGTTCTTATGTTGTAGACACATAAAGGACCACATACTGTATGCAAATGTGAATTTGAGCTTACAAATCCACAATTGCAGGAATTCCATCAGTAGCCAGAGTTCAACAACTCTTCAATCTTCAAGTGTGTGGATAATGGTCACTGTGACTGCACATCACTGCAATTCAAAATCTCATCCATCCAGAGCTGACAATGTTTGCCACTGAAATAACATAGATAAGGGAGTGTGTGTTGATGCTGTTAGAGCTCGGTGCTATTGTACGAGCCGATGAGTGATGGACAGCAGAGGATGGGTACATACTATTCACGAGGCTCCATGTGGCAGCTTGCATTTTCACATCGGCACAGTATGTTTGTCAGCTTCAGACAACGCAGAGACACTTACGCACTGCAGTGGGCAAGCCATGTTCTGTTCTGCCAGCCGGCTGCGTCATGGGCACATGTATGTCCTGCGTGTCACCATGGAGTTTCTCACATACATGTCTGCACGATCCACAGCAGCAGATTGTATGATCTGGAAAAGTTCAAAATCCTGCATGCAGCAGACACCAACACAACACCCCACTGGGTTGAAAAAGTATAGCTAATAGCTTAGATTTTGCACCAACAATGAGTCGAATTAGTTCAACTAAAATGTATTTATATGTTCAAATTTTCTTTATTAATATAAATATCAAGGGATATGTAAATCAGTGACAATCAGTTTTTTAGTTGGAAGGTTTACTGAAATAAAAGAAGAGAGTTTTAGCTAGGAAAAGAAGCAAAGGCTAAAAAGAAAAATACAATTATTTCTTTTTAGTAAAGTAGAAAGCACAGAGATAATTAACTGCATTTACAAAAATGCAAGGATAGTTTTGACAGAGGGAGACTTCAGCTTACTACGTCCTTCGAAATGGAAGAATAACTGATAATAGCTCAGGCTCCATTCCAGCTATTTGAGTGTAAATTCAAATCTTTCTGAACCAAATATGGATGAACAAAGAATGAATGAAGTGAGAGCTTTAGATCATTACACTGACATGGCGGGGAAATGCTCTGTTTAACAAGATTGCCATGGCGTTCGTCAAAGCATTTGGATCACTAGGAAATCTCTCAGGCCTGAGGAATTCGCTTTAATGCGTCTGAGCCGTGTGAGTCACAGGCAAAACTGGGAACTCTAATGTTAGGGCCACATTGCGGTGCCACAGGTGCCCTGTAATAATGCGTATTTTGGGAAGTGACACACTCGTCACAGTGGGGGGTTCTGGGCTCCCCTAAGGGGGTCTCAGCGCCATGTAGCTCAGATTGTGTGACGTGAGAAAAGAAAATAGGCATTTTGTTCATTCCAAATAATACACAAGAAACATGCAGCTTCCAGAAAATGTTTATTTCATTCATAAACCTTTCATAAAAATAACAACATCGATATTAATTTAAAGTATTGTAGAAACTGTCTATGTACAAAATCTTTACTTCAACAGTTAATATAACTTAAGGCGAGTTAAATGACTTTTATCCCCTTTTTTTGTCTTTTTCAGCAACCTGTTGGTGTTCATTTTACCCAACATTTTTATTAATTCATTTTGGCTAAAGTGAACATTTCAGCATAAAGTACCTCCAGCAAGAGATACTGGAAGTCAAAAGTCTTTTATCTCCAAGGTAAAGTTAACAGAAACTCGCAGCAATGTGTGCTACCTGATTACTTATGTTTATGTCGTTTGCTAGTCATTTCTAGCCTGGCTTAACATAATTCTGTACAAAGTGTAAAATATTTTTTTCTCAAAAAAGCTGTACCACAACTAGAGTACATTCCCTTTTAAATCTAGATCGACATTCAATGTAATAACCCTCATCATACCAGCAGTTGGATGATGTGCGAAAATGCCTCCAATATCAAATTGTCACATTTAAAATATTGTGTTACCAAACAATAGCCCTCAAGAAACCATGACATTTTTTATGGTTGATTATACATTTTACCTTAGAAAGACCGCTAGAATATGATCATTGTAAAATATACAGTTATCTATAAAAATACAAAGAAGTACAGTGATACAAATATATTTATTTCCCATTTATGATATATCTTTCACAACTGTAATTATCCAAACAATTGTAACACAACACAAAGACCAATGACAAACACACCGACCGTAAAATGATAAGAAGATAAACAAACACTAAATTGATCAAAAATGGACATCTTTATGGTCAAAACCATAAATTTGTTAGCTTACATTCATGTCAAACACCTCCACTTTGGAGTGAAGGGGGACTTTGACAGTGGTTGATACTCCGATTAAAGGAAAAATAAATTGACATAAACATGCATTTTTAAAAACATAGTCCAATCCATTGCTCTAAGAATGCTAAAAGCAAGAAAATAATAATCTTAAATGGAGATATTAATAATCTTTAAGTGCAATCCATCCATGCTCAGCGGCGAATGGAGGTCGGAGCTGTCCAGACGAAGAGGTGCTGAACAGCAGTCATGCAGTGCAGAGCAGAGGGGGGGTGGGCTCCACTCAAAGTAACAGCAACAAGTTCTTGTTGATCTGATTACTGACTTTTACAACGCAGGCTGTATGCGGTTGCATAAAGTCAGCAGCAACAGGCAATAAGGCCGAAGCAGTCCCTCTTTCCCCACTCCCAGTTCCTCCTAAACGCTAATATTCGTCAAACCCCCTCTGTGTGGTTAAGCGTTGAGACTTGCCAGGCAAAAACCAACCCAGACATCAACTTGGCGTCAGCTGGCTCATCTTCCAAGACGGAAAGATCCCCCCCATCGGGCCCCTGTTTGTGATGCGGACACGAGGCCTCGTCATTCAAATCCCCTCGGGGAGAGCGAACGGCCACGTCCCGGCGCTCACCTGTGGCTTAATTTCCATTTTCTCCTTCTGCTTGAGGTGGACGCGTCCGTGCCGCTTCCTCTCGTCGCTGCGCGCGAAGCGCTTGCCGCACACGTCGCAGGAGAACGGCTTCTCGCCCGTGTGAGTCCTGGTGTGGGTGGTGAGGTGGTCGCTCCGGCTGAAGCTGCGCAGACAGATGCGGCACTGGAAGGGCTTGTGGCCCGTGTGGATGCGGATGTGCCGGTTGAGCTCGTCGGAGCGCGAGAAGCGCCGGTCGCAGCTCTCCATCGGGCACGTGAAGGGCTTCTCTTTGGCTGAGCCGCTGGAGGCGGCGGGGCTCTTCCTGGCCCTGGGGGCCTTGGTCGCGCGGGGGGTGTAACTTTGAGGAAAAGAGTCAGGCAATAAAGAGGAGTACAAAATGGAGTCTATGGTGCTCGGCAAAGCTGGTGACGTGTACAAGGTCTCGCACTGGTTCGCGGGCTGTGGGGGCTCCGGGAAGGGTTTCAGGGTGGAGGAGAGGCTCATCGGCGGCGCCGGGAGGTAACTGTTGTACAGAGGACTGGAGTAGCTCTGGGAACAGGTGTCAGAGAAACATGGCTCCTGCTTGATCCCCCCCTCCACTTTAAACTCCATCTCCGGGTTGGGACATATTGGGGGGAACGTGTCTAAAAGGTCCTTCACGTCCATTTGCTGGTCGGGGGGGAAATCACTAGACATCGGGAAGGTTTCTGTTTGGAAAGTCGTTTCCAAACAGTCTGACTTACTGAATGTGCCCCACTCGTAGCAGCTGCTTTCAAACTCATTCTTGATCACGACGGGGAAAGAAGCAGCCTCGGACTTTGGTTCAGCCTTCTGGGTTGGAGCTCGAGAGGAGCCGAAACTGAGCTGGGAAGTGGACGGGTCTTGGGCCTGGCCGTTGGCCTGATCGTCCGCGTACCTGGGGCAGGTCTGATCTGGAGAATATACTGGGTGATTAGGTCCCGGGCAAGTGTACGTTTGCCTCTTGGCACCGGACTCTCCGAAATGAGCGTTATTGCTCTCCAGAGGCGCAGGGGATGCGTAAGTTTCCCGACTGTTGACGCTCTCTTGCACTTCCGAAAGTGGCACTGTAGATATGCCCACGATCTCAGTGATCATGTTGAGAAGTGTCTCCGTGCTGCACGGCGCTCCCTGAGATGCCTCCACATAGAAACTGCCGGAGTAGGCAAGCGAGGAGGGGGTGTAGGTGTCTTTTGGGCACTCACAGGGGTTAAAAGCGAATTCCGAGTTGGAAGCCTCGGTTTTCAGGGTTGCAGGGGTTCCTTCTGTTAAATGAAAAAAAAGAGGAGAGAACTTTGTCACTGCGAGTGTGGCAAAATAGAGCAATTTAAACGATGGAAGGCAAAAAAAAAAAACACATCAGCGTTACATAAACATTCAGGCGCATTTCGACTCAGATTCCTGAGCATGAACGCCAAACTGCACAGAAAGAGTTGGCTCTCATCTGCCAGTGTTCACATTCGACGTGTTTATATGCTCATACGTGCAGATGAATCGACTGTGTCAACTCACCGTGGCCAAACTGGGCAGGTACCCCCCGCTCTGCATCGACGTACATCTCCTGGTTGTCTTTCCGCGCACTGTTTTCCATCCCCAAGGAAGAACTGTTGCAATTCTCAAACTGAGGGTAAAAGGAATCTTTCGCATTCAAATCCATATTGTTCAACATAATGATGCACTCCGAGGTCCGTTTCTCCCAGTGGAAAAAAAAAGATAAGGTAAAAGAGGAAAGCAGATGATGCAGATAACAGTTTTCTTTCAACACCCCTGCAGATGGTTTCAACAAATGATCCCAAGTGGTCTTTGTCAAAGGGATTTTCTTTCTTTCCTTCCTTTTTTTTTTTTTTGAAAGAAAAAAAAGAAGCAAATTGAAGATATTCCTTTTCGTCTCCGCTCCTCGGTAGGTATTTGCTTGCTGTGGATTTCACATCAGCGACTTCCCCTTTCTCTCCTTATATACACTTTGGCAGCTCCCTCGGCCCTCCTCCCCATTCATCAGCTCCAGTGAGAGGATTCCCCGCTGCGTGTAAACTTCATGCCCATATATGGACAGAGGATGTGACGGAGTCCCCTTCCCCCGCCCCCTCCCAAAAAAATCCTCCTTCCTCCCAATACAGGAGAGATGGAGTCTGACGTTGCAACAAGTGGTGACCACTGCTGATTGGCGTTTCTGTCTACAGTCTTTTCTCTATTCCTACATTAAAGATGAGAGCCTTTCAATTAAAACAAAACAAGTAAAGACAGCGGGGGAATCGGGTCTCCCTCACAGCATTTTCAATAGTCCATCACTCAAACACTGAAACAGGTGATCAGCCAAGTTACTAATTAAGAATGTGAGGAATAATTGTTACCTGAAAGGATTTGTTTCTAAATTACTTTTCTAGAGTCGGACCATTTGACAAGACGCCATGCTTTTGTTTTGTTTTTATGATGCTGAAATACACAAACAAGCATATACTGGACCTCTTATCCAGGAGTTTTTCTTATGTATGGTTTTTCTTATGTATGCACATATCTACACATGCATTTATATTCTATCTATCTATCTATCTATCTATCTATCTATCTATCTATCTATCTATCTATCTATCTATCTATCTATCTATCTATCTATCTATCTATCTATCTGCAAACACACACACATAGATAAATACAGTTATACACATACATGATAGTTTTTATATGTTATACAAACTACATTTCAGCCAGTTTGTCTCCAAGGTTGCCCCCACCCCCCATCTCTCAGCCACTGCCTGGTCTTCATGTTTTTTTTTTCTCCACCCTTCCACTCAGTTCACCGCTCAAATTCACTTTCTCATTTCCTGTCAAGGTGCCGCTGGAAATTTTTGTTGCTTTCACGATCAGGGCGAGCCGCTGCAAAGCCCAGTCTGAACGAACCCTGGCCTTTAAAAGCTTGGAAGGGAGTCGATAACACCCCTGAGGTGTTCAGTGGTTGAACCCAACTGTTCACATGACATTTCAACCCCCAAAGCATTTTTTTCCCCTACTTTATATCTGTTGCCGGGTGCACTCCGTGGCCACACTTCCTATTACAAAAAGTCGATACTCTTTCATAGGACGGTAATGTCTGAAGCAGACCTTTGGCACTGGCTGGAGGTTCAGCACCACGGATAGCGACGGTGCTGCATTCAGCCATGTAATCACACATGAACCAGCGGGACACAGAGCCTTTCCTTTTTATTTTATACTGAATGGTTCCTGTGCTTCTGCACTCGGGCGGAATTGCATTATTATGCATTAACTCAGTCCAATCATGCCACAGACGTCTGGCGGAAATTAGAGCCATGAATACAAAACCAGTTTCTATGATTTTCCTTTCATTCTGGAGAGCATTTTTGTTTCTAAAAAAAGGCAAAGCGATCTTGTTTATACAACACTGGCAGCGCTTTGATAGGTATATAACAAGCTAAGACTCTGTACAAAGATAATGTTAATGGTCTGATTTGAGTTTGTGTAAGCTGCACTCACTGACAACAAATCTCTCTAAAGATCAAAGCACCAGACAGCCATACTGGATTCACACTTATATACAAAGTGCTCTTTAGTCTGAAGGTACTATCTTCTTTCTATTTCATAGAAGAAAAACAACAAAGAGAGTCTACATTTTATAAAATAAAAAATGTAATCTTCCCACCATTATAAAATATTACAACTCTGAGATTAGTGTTATTAATTCTTCTTCTTACAATGGTTTATTTGATTGTGATGAGTTGTTTTTTTTAAGGGATGGTTTTACCAACAAGACTGTAAATTAAACTAAATGGTCAACATTTAAAATGCGAAAAAGAAAAAACTCATTCAAGAATATTGTCTCATACAAGCCATTCTATGCAGGCATAGCAGAGCAGTAACATAATATAATAAGAACCTTACAAACATCTCTATCTATAATTTTGACCTAATTGTGGAAAGCATGTCGCCCGTGCCAAGAAAAATAGAAACAAAATGAAGGGTAGAGTAGATTTTTACTGCAGGCACATTTAATGAAACGAGCCCTGGGTTTACAACTAGCACTTTGTTTTTTATTAGGAAATATGAAAGTGCAATAAATGCCTAAAACCTGAGCCAGACCTGGAACAGGACACATCTTAACCATTTACATACCTGGGCCACATGGAAATGTGTCTCCATTCTCGTCCTTCATTCCACCTGATCGGGCTTTAAAGCTACAAAAGAAAAAGAGGAGATTCTTTGTTCAATGCACTTTTCACATAAGTCTAAAACCGGTAACAAGGATTCACAAGTGCACACAAGCAAAAATGTCAGGAGGTAAGAGAACCAAAACCAGAAACGCACTTCCCCTCACACCTCTATAGAAACCACTTGTTACAGAACTTGAGCGGAATTAAAGTGGGCCCCTGTAAACTCAGGACTCTTTTTTTTTTTCAAACAGAGAGTAATTGATGGTTAAAAAAAACAACAACATGCAAAATAGGGACAGTGTTGAATGAAGGACGGGAAGTTTGCAACAGCACAATGCATGAAGATTATTAGCTGTAAAAAACAGCCAGCTCTGACTCAACTACTCAAATTTGATGTTATTTCCATCAATACTGAGCAGCAGAAAATGTATCAAAGGATCTCTAAGTAGCTACGCTGTCATCTTTTTAAGGCAAGGTATGATAATAGCATATAAGCTCTCTCATTCTAGCAGTGACATTCTCCGGAACAAATGGTTTTCACCTCAGCCATGCACTCTAATTCTAGCCCCAGAGATGTTTAGCTTTGAGTAACTGCCTCCAAGTAATCCAGAGTCTATTAAAACCAATCTGATCACACAGAGTTCAGATCATGGGATGCTGTTATGATAACTGCAGTGTGGCTAACCTCTCTCCTCCATAAAATGCCACAGCGCAGAGACCAAGTAATGGATTTACGTAATGTTAGCACTTACTGACATTATAGCGCAGGGGTAGCGCCATACCTGAGAGAGTTAAATGAAAGGCTTCTTTTTTTCCCTTAAATTTGAACACTGAAACAAAAGATGGCTCTTTCTTAGGGAACAGCTTGGTGAACGGAGAAAAAAAAAAGGAAGCAGCACATCGTTTCCGTGTTTTAACAAGGTATTGACTTTAAAAGAAGTTCAAAGAGTTGACAATGTAGAGAAGTTGAAATGTTTTAATGAAAGGATAACTGCTCTTCGGGAGAATGGATAGCTTCAGTGATTGAGCTCAAATTGTTAATCCATTAGTCTACGTATCTATGAATCTATCTATTGTGTAGATGTGCTGCTGTACCTTGGATCTAGACTATAAAATACTTCGGAAAACAGAGGATCATTTATTCTAATCGTTGTCACTGTAGTGTGACAGATTTTCAAAATGGTCTTGTAACTCTGTTTAGACCACTTCAACATCTTCTGCATGATCATTGCTGGTGTCTCTGTTCCTTTACAGTGTATAAAACAACAGAACGCTCTCCATCAAAAGAAAATTCTGATTGTTCACACTTACACTTACGCTCAACTAACTAACATCATATGTTTATAAGGACATGCTGATTTTCTTTTTGTCTTAATAGGTAAACCCTCAAAATGTTTTAATCACATGACTACAAATGTTTAACGCACGAGTTTGGTAGATTATAAAACAAACAATGCATTTGCAATCAGCGGTTAAGTGGCCATATCAAATGAGAGTGTATCTGCAGACACCGTGCCTTTCTAAAAAAAAAAAGAAGGCAAATACTTTTCATTAAGCCGTGCATGTAACTCACTGAACATGTTATTTTAAGGTTCACTCCTGAACAGGGAGTGGGAGTTGTTCTTTGCAGGTGGGTGCTCAATCGAGTTGAAGATGCAGTAAGGAGCGCCTGCCCTGTGAGATCTGATCAGACGGACAGCCATGTCTGTTCTATATTCTTTAATAAGGTCCTCCACAGTTATTCTGCAATATAAATCAGTGCTAAGAAGAGCACTGTTTTCCTTGTATGATCTATTAAAAAGCAATACCTGATGCAAACGAGTAACATGGGAAATCTGCTGCTGATTTTCAAACAGCCCAGTCAGATAAGAACAGGGCTTTCTTCAGTTTGCTTTATGTGGATTTAACACACATGCACAGTGCACCTCTGCTAATGTTTGATCTTCTCTGTCAAAAGCTATCTGAAACTTAATGTTTTCAGCAAACCTGACTCCAACTGTCGCAGCTATTACTTCAAAATTAAGTTGATGTGTATTGCTGTGGTTACTGAATATCTCAATGCCTTGGCATAATGTCAACCAACTCTCCGGCCCACACTCTTTGAGAGTAAATAATAGAAGAACCTGATCCACACCAGAAAATCCACTGAGATGCAGAGGCTGTCGTTGCCGTTTGAAAATGAAAAAGTACTTCAAACCCACCATGATCTGGAGAGGTTATGTACAAAATACTGTACTGGATCTACAAGACAAATAAGAGTGGAAAAAAGGTAGGCTACAGACCAGTTGCCAGCATCCACAAAGTAATGAAATGAATACATATCACCCAGCGCACACATTTACATATAGCCTCCAGTGCCGTGTTGCACTTTGACTAATGTTTCGCAAAGTACATTTTTTGGATCAATCTAACGAAAGCCAGGCCTGAACAGAGCCGAAGGAATCTATCTGCCTCCCCCAAAACACATTATGACATGTCTCACAGTCAAATCTCCCCCCCAAGGCGTAAGATGATGGAACATCTTCAGTCTAAGCCTGAATACAATAGGGCCCGTAAGACACCGCAAAAATGGATTGGGAGTGCTAAAACCGCAGAAACCTCTGCCGGAAACACGACTTTCTATAAATACAAGATACTCGCTTCAGCTGCCAAGTTCGTTATTCTCTCTCTTTCTCTCTCTCTCTCCTCTCCCTCTCTCTGTCATGCCGGGCTCTGCATGGTTATATATACTACATCATCATTCAAACGCCGGCAATTGAAAGGAAAATAGCACGAATAAGAAAAATAAAAGCGGCGGAAGCGTGGTGCTTCTATTGAAGGAACACCTCTCTCCTGCTCTTCCTCTGAGAGTGGGAGTGGGTTAGGGAAGCCCGGTACCAGGCCCCGATGCTGCCGCTGCTACTGATGGTGTGGCAGGTTTCCCGTGTGATCCAAAAATACCTTCCTGCTCGCCCACCTCGGTCCCCGGCCGCCTGTATTCTTTGGTTCTACAACAGGGATGGGTGAGAGTCATATTCATCTCTGTGATCGTGATTGCGGAATGCCCCGGCGTTTCTTTCACCGTGCCCCCAGACTCCTCCACACACACACACACACACACACACCACACTCACGCTGCTCCCACCTTGGCCTCTTCTGCTGCTGGATTCATTCTGCGCTGCACTCTCACACAGTCCAGCACCTGGGAACGATCCAGCAACTGCACCTGCTGTTACCTAACTGACAGCGCATTCTGTGGAGAAATCCACAGAAACAAGGCCGCTATCTAACGTGTTCTCACACACAGACACACACGCAGGCATTTATATTCATATATTACAGCTTTAACATTTGCACAACTCAAACCAGAAAAAATTCCATCACGCTCAGATAACTGATATCACATCAAATTACTATAGACTTTTTAATGCAAATATCTGGGCTGTTTTCTTTATCACCCTTATCTGCAAAGCTCCATATCATCCACTATACATATGATAATCACACAAGATGGGATGAAATGCACAAGTTTTGACCAACACAAGTTAATAGGGCTACACATTACGGTCTGTGACTCATCTTCACCCACATTGATTTCTATTCGCTGCTCTTTCTACCGTCGAGTGACACCCCAATGTCCAGGAAGGGGTGCGCTGTTCATTAGAAAACACCGTCTCCATTGCTGCTTTGTCAGCGTAGATGCCCTCATTAAGAGAGCAAGCAACGCAAACTGATTCAAACAAACAGTCAACAGCAGACATGTGAGGAAACAGATGAAGAATGTTAAGAGCTCGCAACTAACAAAAGTAACTATGGAAACGGCCAGCTCTACATTGCACTGGCTTCTACAGCTCTCTCCAGAAATAAAAACTGTTGGGCTATGAGCCTATCAGGTAAAGACAAAAGATCCTGGGTGAACCTATTTATAGAGGGCCTTACATAACATACATAGACCTATGTTGGTTGAGGCAAGTTTGGTACTAAACAGTGAGCTTCTGGGGGGCAAAGGCAGGCTACGCAGAGCTGAAGATGCTGAATCCTGAGGCGATTTCACAGCAGTGTAAGTACAAACTGCAATTAGCACAGTGTGGATCATACTGCTCGTGGCAACTGTGCTGAACAGAGAGGGAGGTCTGCAGTTTGGACGTGTGTGAGCCGACACTGTTGCGCCGGACTGTGAGGTCAGTGATGTCAAAGCCGGAGTTCCACAAACAGCATTACAGGCAGTGATCTCATGCACACTGACCCAATACATAGCTCGTGGCCACAAGGGCCGAAGAACACACGCTGGAGAGATTTTTTTTTCCTTGAAAACATTGAAAAGGCACGTCATAAGATGCCCTGGTTCACAGCCAGTTGGCCCTGAAGTCCTGATTATTTGTATGGGAGGCGAAATGTTACAATGCGCTAGCAAACAAACACACACGATGATCAAGTGGCTTCAGGACAAAACATCTGACATCTACGGTGAGGAAGAAATACGAACATACAAGCCCACATATGCTTGGAGGCTCTGAGAGAGCCACTGTAAGGGTATAACGCTTGGACAGCAAGCATGTAGAAATACAGCCTGCCAACATATCTTAAATCCAAATTGATCCATTAGCATAATTATCCACTTATACTGCTTTAATTCTAAGTAGCTCTCCATTGTAAGTGAAATGATAGCTAAGCTGTATTGAAAAAGCCACTTTTCCACTCACAAATGCCTTATTAATTAGCTCCCTCTAGCATACCTTCCCAGTAATTACATTCAACACTGCAGTCAGTGCTGTAGGCTGGCGAGAGACTATTAGACAACTTTATAATTACTCTGCACGTGTGTGATGGTTTCTTTGATTTAAGAGGGGCGAGGGAGAAATCTTTTCTTTGCATTTGTGAAAAACTGCATTCACTCCGTCTTAATAGTACTCACGGGTAATCTCTGGTAGAAGGCAATTACTAAATATTTCCCATAGACATGCTGTGATTTTGTTGGGATGGGATGACATGGTATTCAAATGAATACTGACTCATCTGTTTATTATGCAGTCACATTAGTTAGCTCTGATGCTGTTAGGCTATTATCCCATCTCACAGTGAGAAAAGGGTCTTGGGTGAGGGGGATGGATTGCGCAGTGAGTGCTTTAGTCACACAGACTGTCCGCACTCTTCAAAGAAATGAATGCATTTTCGACTGTAGTTGCATTGAGGGGATGTGGAATCCATTTCCTCAGAGAAGCAACAAAAGGCAGAGGTAATGGTTCATCTGTGTCCAGAGTCCCTTGAATCTGTGCTCTGCGTTAGCAGGTTAAAAGGTCAAATGAGGAGCCCGAGTCTCCCACTACGGTGCCAAAAAAACAACTCTTTTCGCATTGCGCCAGCGTTTAGGATCCATCATTTTCATCCAGTAAAAGAAATTATTTTAGATGTAATGAAAACCTGTTCAAACCTTTTTTGAAGGTGGAAAAAAGGCTTAAACAAGCACTCTAATTGTGTTTTGTTAATAATAGCATCCACATTTGTTGTGCATGGAAGAGCTGGTATTGCAGAAAACAAGACATTTGGCAAAACTACCAACATGCGGCTTCACAGCCTGCCTCCTGTTCTGCTAACTGATAGAGGGTGCTATTTTTAGCCATGCAACCTTACAGCGCCATGCTCCGCTTTCAACTATACAACTGCACACCTAGCCCATTCAAAGGATTCATAGAGGTCTGGATGCTGGCACCTTGTGATCGCGTATATAAAATCGATTGGCAGAGATGCGGGTCCCAGCGTTGTAACAATTGTTGATACTAATAAGAACAGGGCCGATGTGTGGCCCGGTCTGTGGACGTACGCCAGCACATCAAGGAGTGAAAACCCATGCCTTTCGATGTGGGGTAATTAAGCACCGAGCCCTCACAACAACCGTGCTCCATGGAAACTGCGCAAAAGAGAAAGAAAAAAGAAAAAGAAAATGACGTCAGCTAGAGGCCTTCAATGTGCCATTTCAAAAGAGAAGAATGATCCGGTTGCTGCACTTAAGGTCACAGTGATGAAGTTACTCTTTGCTTTGGCATAGCAGCTGTTATGAGGACATATGAACTGCATTATTCTCAGACTTAGACTTAGATATCTGAAAAACAGGCGTCAGATAAATAGGCATCAAGCCAGTTTATTAATATTTTTGTAACACCACATGCCATGTGGCCCTCATTACTGTCTCTGAAAAACTACTTGAAAAAAAGTAAATAAATAAGAAATAGCAGGTCTTTGTTGAAAATCATTTCAAGTATGAACACAATAAGAATTGGTTCTATCCAACTTACCAGGCTCCTTGTGTGTTGGACTTACTGGACTCCATCTTGTAAAGCCGTGCTGCATTTCGAATGGCAGCAGCTGTCTTACAAAAGTTAAACTATACACAGCTCGACTCTGTTCTCTAAGATACTTGTGGGATCGATCATTTACAACAAACTTGTGAAGAACTTATTATTGAATCCACAATAATCACAGCTGTGAAAGCATATCCCGGCAACCAAGGCTGATCTTTCAAGTCCAAAGCCTGAAGGTAACCGTAGCTTAAGACTCAAAAAGATAGAAAAATATCTTGTAACATTGGTAACAACAACAGAGGGAGACAAAAGTATTTAAACAATTTATTGTTTTTGACAAAACAAATCAAATTTAAACAGTCATTGTTTTTCCTGCGAGACAAATCAATATGTCTGCCTTTGGGAGCAGTAATTTAAGAAAAGTGCAGCGGCACAGAACAGGAGCGCTCGCATATCAAAATGATCGATCATTAAGACATTAAAAGACAGTATAGATCCATGACAAAAATGGCACAGTTACATATGGTGGCTTTTATTTGTCAAGTGAAAAGCCCATCTTGAATAATAACCCGCAAAAAAACCTGCAGCAAACCGGTACCCGTTCAACCATAACACAATTTAACCTGGAAGCATGAGTCCTCCTTCTGAGAGCCGCATTTCAAAGGAATCCTCAATTTTGGCATTTTAAGGGTGCTGGAGCAAAGTAGCAGGTCATCGAAGACGTCACAAATATTTTTCCATGAGGCAAAACACAGACTGACACGGCGGAGCTTGGCAGAACTTGGCTCATCATGAAGCAAAGATGGAAAAGCTGCTCTCGCACATCTTGGAAATGACCCTTTCAGAGCTCATGTGCGAAGACCGTTGAGTCTAATCGAATGGCTTATGCGAAAATGTGATGACTGGAGACGCGATTTTCACACCTGAATATTCTCAGCCTTTTTTTAACCGGACTACATTTATACACTTTACAAGTACAAGTTGATCCGATCGCTTCCACACAAATAGATGGCAGGTATCGCAAGTAGCGATTCGATCAAACGAGCAGCATTAGTACTGCTCAGCCATCATTAATACGGTCAGGGCAGACCAGCCGGTGAAAGGGTGGCTGCCCTGGCCCCGTCCAGTCCCGTCATTGTACTGTTCCCAGATATACCCTGTGTCAACGTACTGACTAAAAACATTATTGACAATGTTAGTCCTGAGTTCCTCATAAAGAGCAGCTGCCTTCTCTCGGTATGGCCCCGCTGTGTTGCCGTAGTGGTGGAGGGCCCTGACAGCTAAGTAATTGATGTTGATCCATATTGGTCCTCTCCAGTAGGGGGCGTCGTGTTCTGTGTTTCGCTGCATATATAGAGGGTCGGCCTTGGAGAGGGAGCGCAGGCCGTAGGGCGTCCACAGCTTTTTGGGGTCTCTCATGTCTCGGAATATATGCTCCAGTTTGGGCGAGTCGGGCTGGAGGACTTGCAGCAAGAATGGGAAGAGGCTGACGTAGCCCAGGGCGTTCACGTACTGCAGCTTTGGCGCCCTGTGGACGGAGCGGACCAGGCGCGCCACGGGGAACTGGTGGCGGGGCTGTCCGGGGGGCACGTACACCTTTTCCCGCTGTAAGGACACCGACTGCGTGTGGTTGCCGAAGTCGCTGAAAGCCCGGAGCTGATCGGACCAGTGCAGCTCGTCCAGCCGCTCGTTGTCGCTGAGCACGTCGTGCGAGGCCTTGTAGTCCTGATGGGGCTCCCCTAAGAGCTGGGCAATGCTTGCCATGATGCCCGAGGACAGGGCCATCCAGCAGTGCAAATCCACGTGCCTCTCATCGGCCGAGGGGTGGGAGGCCCGTGGGTAGTCGTCCAGCCCGGAGGTCAGGGTCTTGGGATTGAGGAACAGATTGGTGTCCTTGTCACGCCCACGCCACCGGTAAGAATTGGGGAGGAGCCCCGTCTGAGAGGTGTTGTACCACTCAAACCAGGTTTTAAGCCTGGGGAAAAGCCTCCGGAGGAAGGGCAGGGTCGGCTGGGCGTCTGCCCCGGCGGGGTTTGAAGAGAGCTGCTCGATCAGCTCCTGCAGGGCCAGGAAGAGAGTGGGCGGATTTGCATTCTCGTTGTGCTGAACAATGAATTCCGCTGGGACTTTGCTGCGAGCCTCATCGCCCAGGATCTGCTCACGGGGAATCCAGCCCTCCACATTCATTAGGTCAATCCAGTGGGCAATGGACTCCCTCGTCACCTGCGGGTCCCACTTACTCAGCAGCAGCTGATGGAAGCCCTCATCCCAGAGGAAGCCTCTGGGAAAGAAGGAGCGCGAGGGGACGGCGGTGTACAGCGCCCCGTCGGGGTACAGGAGTGGGTACTCGTTGTAGACCGACTGCACCACCGACTCGCCATAGAAGTAACCCATCCCACCTAGCATGTTGCCGAGTGCTGCTTTGGCAAATTTCACTTGTCCCGGACCAAAACCTTTGGCCTCAAGGCCAAAAATCCTCTCAAACTTCGCATTAAACTCGGTCTTCCTCTTCTCCAGCTCTTCGCTCATGACGGACCCCACCAGCTGGTTGGGACGGTTAGAGAAGCTCCCTGACTCAAAGAGAACTTCAATCTGGAAGGGTGTCTGAACGGTCACCTGGTGAAGCACGAAGTCACTTTCTGTCCTCGTGTCAGCGGGTTTCTGCTGGTTTTGGTGGTGGGGGGGTTTGTATGTGTCGACAGCAATGTAATGCCTTTTCTCACCAGACGGAGGGCTGTAGACAAACCTGCGGCTCAGGCTGAGCTTCACTATGTTGGTTAGCTTTTCCAAGCCAGGAGAGACTGTCTGAAGATAGTTGTAGCTGAAAGATGAAAACCTCAAGTCAGTGGTGCTTTAGCTTAAAATGAGATCTTTTAAATATAGGTACTGATGAACAGCAGACACACATCTTAGTTATAGATATAGATAACAATACACATATCTTTTTATCTCCATCTATACTGATTTCTGAAACAGTGGTACTACCTATTAAGTGTTAATAGAAGTAAGCTAGAACACCACTGGGCTACTTTGTACTTAAAAAGCAAAAAGTAGTTCTTTATGAACACTATATACATCTTTATGAATAGTAGTTGTTTGTGAATAGAAACCTTTGCTGATTAAAATAATAGCCGGACCATTTCAGGAGGACCTGATATAAAGCTTGTGGGTTTTTTTTTTACTTTATGTTCTTCATCATAACACATCTTCTGCTACCACCTAGTGTTTAAGGAGAAAAAAAAAAAAAACAGCAGTACGGCCTTGTAAAAATCTTTAGCTTACTATACATATGAAGCCCTATTCAAAGATTTTCTGACGTAAACGATTTAACATTTAAAAACATTTTTTCTTTCCACGTTATAATACACAGATCACAGATCATCAGGTTTAAATGGCTGCCATTCAAGGCTGTTCTACATTCCTTCCAGCAGTTTGTCAGCATTGATTTACCTCGCATATTTAGCGCTGGATAACTCCCCAGTAACAGGCTTCCTGATTGTGATCTTAAAGCTCCCGAGCTCCTCCGAGAAACCGCTTATAGAGGCGAGGCGACTCCTGTCCTCCACGTGAGCCTGCATTGAGCCCTGAGTGTCCGCGGCAGCGTAAAACATCAGGGATATGACTGGTGGCTGGGGGGCATTGCTCTGGTGGGTAAAGACAGAAAGAAAGAAATATACCTCCGATCATCTTCAAAAAACATTTGTTAGATAGGCCACATCTGATCATTAGAGGAAAGGCGATGCAGGAAATCCCAGTGAACACAGTTAGAACTCACCTGCTGTTTGGCTGTGATCCTCCAGGTCCAGTCTCCTCCATGATCCCCTCCCATCCTCTTAACAAACTCTGTGGTTAGCGTGAAGCCCTCATCTTGGATTTCTTGGACGCCAAAGGAAAGTCCGTCATGCATCAGCCAACCGTAGCTTTTCAAATGATCCCCCTGCTCGCAGGTGTGCCTCAAGTTCACGTCTGTGTCCGAAAACTGACGCATCCACATCATTCCTGCAGAAAGAATACAATAGATTTTTAAGCAATGATCATTTTCAAAATTATTATGGTAATAATGTTGCACAATAATGTAACAACTTGTTAACGGCTTCTGATGAAAAACATCTCTGGCTATATACAATATGTTCATTTAGCGTTTTCTGTTGGCCTGGATCTGTTAATACTGTACAGTTCTGCATTTCTACAGTTAAACTGCCACTGCTGTCTTATAGGGCTAACTTTTTGGGGGGGATTGCCCATTTCTGCTGCTGTAGCTGTCAAATTACCCCTGCAGGACTAATAAAGGATAATGTTATCTTCTCGTATCTTAACCTGGCAACAATGGCTATAACAGAGTACTCCTTACTATAATGCATGTGACAGTAGCGATCATCTCATTTTTGTAACTGATACTCAACAGCTCTTTCTCTGGTCTGCACAAAATAGTTTCCATGAGAATTCAATGTTTCTATAAGTACTGAACGTCTCATGGCATCACTTCAACTAAATATAATCAAATGAAAGCCAGGATTTCAGTTGTACAGAAGAGAAGAATCCATGGACAGGGACTTTGAAGAATGAAGAGTTATGGATGAATCTGGTTTGGCTTGGAGTGCTCTGCTCTGATTGGCTGCTATGTTGTGAAGATACTTGAAGGACAAGTATTTAACAGCTTTTGAAAAAGAAAGAAGAAAAAAAACTTAAAGAGTTCCTATGAAAACTTGAAATAAAAACATTGTTTCGCAATGCTTATGACACACTATTCAACTATCTCATTCCTCATTTGAAATTTCTTATGAACGTCTGAATTCTATAATGCTCTAAGAAGTCAAGTCTTTTTTTCTCTCCATGAACATAATCTTTTGGACATAGCTGACCAGGGATTAGCCTCAAGCAGCAAGATATACTTCTGATCTTGTCTATTTAATGAGACTTCTCCATAATAGTGTTGCATTACAATTTTGACTGTATGTAGCTTTGAATGTAAACCTACCTGTCACAAGGGACCTTGGACTCCTGGTTTTCATGCCAAAGTACACCTGAGGCCTGTACGAGCCCCAGAACCTCTTCGGTGACTCTTTCGAACTGCTGCTGTTTGGATCGAGAACTTTAGGAGCTGGGTGAAGAGTCACCACTCGTTTTGCCAGATTGGACCGCATGTATATGGCATAAAAGAACCAGATGAGGCTTAATATGCAGAGGCCAATGGAAATGTTTATGAACACTTTTCCTATGTCCGTTTTCTTTTTCTTGTCCTTGCGGTGGAATGCAGAGGGCCTCTCATCTTTCCTTGGTAGAGGTGTAGTTTCACCCGTCACCACCCTCTTCCTCTGCCTGCCCATCCTGCCCTCCTGAAGATGGGAACAAGAGGACAAAAGCTGATTTACTGAAAAGCCCATCAAGGACACCACTGAATGTCAGTTTGAATACTGCATAACCGCTTTTTTATAGGACTGCATTTTGCTTCAATACTATTGGCAATCTTTGAGTATTGTACAATATTATACAATAAGGCAAAGAGACAAAAGTGAAAGCAAGCATAGATTTTGCTAACAGACGTACAAGTATTCTGTGACGTAAGGGATGTACGTCTGTTATATCTTTTCACACATATACACAGAGACAATCTAAAGGCAGATGTTTTTCCCTGTTTTTGAAAATAGATGCATTCTGGTATTTCACTGAAAATAATTTGAAAAAAGAAATAAATAGAAACTATTCTGTGCTCTCTGCGGGACAAAGTACATGGCGACCCGCTCCTAAATTGCTTCTAAAGTGGTTTGGCATTTCTGGACTACAATTTCTCTTCAGCATCATGAATCCGAGCCCTTTTTGTAACAAGCTCTTATACAGTGGTTCTTGAAAACTGTGTGATGCATTTAGACTTTCTGTATGTCTTTAAAATATTTTAATACTTTTTTTTTTAATAAACGGAACCAAGTTATGGAAAATGATACGTCTCACATATCTGAATGGCAAACAAAAACACTTTTTTGAAATTCTAGTTAAATTCTAGTTTCTGCTGCCACTCTTTAAAAAAAGCATCAGCTACACCAATATTCAAAGAATGGATCAGATTGGAGACATATGTCAGAAGGGGGAAAGGCAATAAATAATTGTAATCATTAAAAGATTACTTTTTAAGATTATAGTTATAGTCTTGCTGAAGTGAAGCTTCCCTTTATATTAGATCCATCTTACACAGATGTGTTTACATTTTAAATTCCAAAATGATGGAAAAATTCTAAAGCCAGACGTGCGTCTATAATGAAAAGCCATCCCATACAATAATACTACCACCAACATGTTTCACAGATGCTGTGAGGTGAGATGCAGAGCTTTTATTCTCCACAAACACTTTAGCTTGAGCACATGTGGTTGTCCAAGCGGCAGCCTGATGTTGTTTTGTTTTTTGCATCATTGTCAAGATGAAAGAAGAATTTGGGAAGTACTTTAACAACTAAAGGTGTGAGCTACAAATGACCATACACTATTACCATCCATTCTGGACAATGTATTTTTTGGTCTGGAATAAGAGGCTCACTCCAAAGAACCCAACTGTCCTCAGAAGCTGTAATTTCCAAACCAAAACAGTGGAGATTAACCTCTGTTTGAGAACATTTACTCTTAATGATGAGGAGAGGTTTACTAGCCACTTATAAGCAAGTAATTTTTTATATTTTCCTGTTATTTTTTAAGTTAATTTTGTGATCTAAATGGGTTTTCTCTGTGATTCCAAAATTGATTTTTATACACACATTTCAAATAACCTGTCCAGACTAAAAAAAAACGAGGAGGGAGAAGATATTTTTTTCTCTGCTTTTTGATGACAGACCACACCAACTTTGTGCTGTGCATTTAAGGAACACATGCAAATAAATTTCCATAAACGTCACTGGGGCATTCGCAGTGCAGAAATGGTTAGGAAGGAGTCTTAAAACACACATTAACTCAACCTCCTCATGGGCTAACTAGGCGCTCTTTGCTAACGACACCTGCCCATGGAACATGGTGGCGGCAAGAGAAGCAGAACCAAACCCCCCACCGACAATTCCATCAGTTTTAGCTCAGGTTATAGGACCGGTATTGGCATTTCAATTAGCTAAAACTGACAGGTTCACCGGTATGAGCTCCCTGCATCGCCATGGTAGAGCTACTTTACCTCTAAGGCTGCTCGCCAGTGTGAACAAACCGAGCTTTTCGCTTAGTTTTTCTTTTTACGGTGAACAGCTACTGAGATGAGTGAGTGAGTTAAGATAGCCCAGTTGATACTACGGGATTGTGTCGTAGTTCTACTTTAGTGTTCATTGAGCAAATTGTCACAGACCTGTCGAAAAACCCCGAGTCTCAGCTGCTCATGATCCTCTGCTGGATGGGCTTACGAAGCACTGCCGCTTCTTCTTGATCCTTGAGCAAATAACACGACGCCATTACCGCCACCTACCGGTACGGAGTGAGAACAACAATGTAAAAAATAAAATAATAGTAATCAAAACGATAACATTTCCTAAAGCAAACGAGTGTCTTTAATAATGAAATATTATCCAAGTATAAATCCGAAGAAAACTTATTTCCCCCGTGTAAATCAATTAATTTACTCAGAATTTGGGATCACTTGTCTTCTTTAAGCGCCATATTACTAACTTCAATAGAGAACTCTCCACTGTAGTTGCATTTCTGCAGTTTGTATGGTTTTCATCTGCATGTCCAAATCTGATCTTATCCTAAAATTTAAGTACACTTCTTTTTACGTCTGACGGTGTTCTTTATTTCCGTCTCACTGAAGCAGATGTTGAGCCAACCAGAATTACCAGCAGCTTCCTCGTTATCTCTGGATTTCACTGACGTGTACGTCCCTCCGAAACCGGCCATGGTGATGTCATCAAATCTCTCTGCTCAGACTTCGCTGGCCCTATTGCACAATGTCCGCAGGCAGAGCCCAAAAACACAGCAGCACACCGAGGAGTTAAGATATTTAAACAACGAATATTTACCAAATGACACTTGGAAAAAAGATCCCATGCCTTCCAATGTTGCATGGGTTAAAGAATGAATGTGTCCTAATATGTATTTCTGTAAGAAATACACACTTGTTGGGGGCATTATACTACTGACTAACATTTACCATTTTTTACCAGGCCTTGAAAGAAAAGGAAACCAAGTATTGGCCTTTTACAGCTGGTAAGAGGTTTGCATCAAAGCATTCCCCTGCCCTGAACCATAGAATATGCAAATTGAAAAAGAAAATTAATATTAAAAAATATAATAAACACATCTGCTTGCCGAGTCAATTACTCACAATTATTAAATGAAAACAGACAGTTCAGTTTTGCTTTTTATTGAATGCAATATTTTTTTAATTTTCTTTGAATGAAATATTCATCAGAACTTTGGACAACATGTAAAACTGTTACAGGGGTAGAAAAGGCTCATTGACTAACTGCTTTCCGCGGTATTAAACTGTTGCAATCAGTTTGATGACCTGATCCCCTCGGGCATTGAGTTATCTCCAACTTCATTTGGATAGAATTTCTTGATGTCGGGCTTTTGCATTTGAACATTGCTGTTCATTATAATCTGCTGACAGTGTGGCTCCAGACACATTAGCTAATTACAAGCAGAGTCAAAGCAAATTGCTCACAATTTTATTACTAAAGTGTCATTTTACAGTCAAAATCCCAAATGTTTTTATTCTCAGACATCACCTCTGACTTAGGGCAGGTTTCAAATTAAGTATCTGGAGTCTGAACACTTTTGCTTTGAATGCTGCTTCACAAAGTAAATGCTTTGTCTTTGGGGCCAAAATGCAAAACAGTAAAGAAAAGGAAATGACGCGTCAACATAACATGTCAACAGAACCATTTTAAGAAGGGCACAGAAATAATTATATCTTTGAAATTATTCTGAAAAAAATGTGGCAGAAGTTTAAATCTTTTCTGTTGAGCCAAAATTACCAAGTGCTCTCTGACTGTACAGTAAGCTGTCCTTTAAGTGTTTTTTTCATTCATAGTGCACCGTATGAAAATAAGGACATGGAAAAGGGTCAAACAAAGTGACCAAAAAAAAGACAAAAAAAACATTCATATCCAACAAAACCTGCCCTGCCCGCCTGTTTTTCCACAGCTTTAACTGTAATCATTCTGTACAAAGACAGAGGCAAAAGGGGGTCGCACCGACCCCAGATGATACAAAGTATTCTTCAAAAACTGTCAAAAAACAGTGATCAACAAGATGAAGGGAACTGAAGGCCCAGAGCACTCTTCACTTAACTGTCACTGAATGCAAATGCTGGTTTGTATAACAACGTTAGTGGGAGAGGAACATGCCCTGTTCGGGTGAAACACGCGGAGGCAGAAACCGGGGTGCAAGAACCAGTGAGCACCCGTCCTCCTCGTCCTCTCCCTTCTTCCCACCATTTGAATTAGGTTTTAATTATCCCGCCGTCTCCCTCGCTTACGAAGCGCTTCCTCCCTCTGGTGGAGAAAGGAGGGTTAGACACGTTGAGGTCATTTTCAGGCTGCATCCTAATTATTAGGAGCACTGCTGATTTGAGTTGAACTAACCTGGAGGGGCAGGCATCCCTCAGCTGTTTGGTGATGACAGACTCCTGGTAGCAGAGATCCACAAAGGTCTCCATGATGGAGTGCGCATGTGGCACATCCAGGCTGATTTCAGGAAGTTCGTCGTACACGCGCTGGAAACCCTGGGAAAATGCACGAGGGATATTTACTCGTGCGGACGTAAAACCAGGAGAGAATCAAATCGGATTAAAGAAAAAAGGGACTGACCCTATTCATCTGATCCACAGTGATGAGGCCGGTTTTCCAGAAGGACTGCAGAAGTTTCATCATCAGGTGAGTGGCGGTGTCTCCTTTGGACTCTAGCACCATCACTACAGCCTGGAAACAGTGGGGTGACATTTACCATGAGGAGGCAGCGTTTCCACCCATTTCTCATCAGCCAACCAACACCATTAATCAAATGTTGGTGCCGCTTGGTTCCACCTCTCAAATTCTGGTATAGCATTCTGGTATTGGCAGGTTTCCTCTAGAAAAAGATGGGTTTACCATTTTTAATACTAAATACCAAATCTTTGGCTACCGACTTGATCAAACAGGGGTTGAAATCATGGAAAACAAATCCCAAATTATAAAACACACTAATCATTAAACGTAATTATCACTTATCAAAACTTTTATCATCCTGTTCTCTGATTGTTTGGCCTGCATTGCAAAATGGAAACGGGTAGGAAAATGAACCTAAAACAAGAAACAGCAGAAAAGACCCTGCAAAGCATCAGAGAGAGACACAGAGATCGTTTCTGTTTTAACAGTATTCAGCCTAACGTGAAATGAGTTGGCTACAGCTCAGCGTCAACGGGAACACAAGACCCGAGTGTCTGCGCCACGTTTTCACAGAGGACGCTGTGATCGGGGCGGTAAATGTGCACGGCTCACTTTCTCTAAACAGAAATACACATTGACTGGCCATAATGTCCAACATGGACGCCGTGGCACCACTGACAACAGCCTGATAGAGGGGCTGTGTTTCTTAAAAACTCATCTTGAAAACAGGAAGAAGCTTGTTCTCCATCTCATCTTTCACCCTAAGTTTTAGGGTTCAGCTGAGTAGCGGTACAAAAGCAGTGAAGGCTTTTGTTTTATTCTGGGCTTTCGTGCTGATAAATTTAAACTCGGAGCTGGGGCAAACTGATTGAACGATTTAACTCGGACTACTACATGAGACAGCCAAAAGAGCTTTCACAGGGATTGGAGCAATTCTCCAGGGTGGACTCGATGTTCTCTGCCTCTGTCTGAGGGGTAAAACTCCTCTCAGTAATGAACGGTTATCCAGGCTTTAATACATATTTGAAAACATTCAAATGTTCATAACTAGTATAGATGAGTGACCACTACTCAAACACTATAAGGAATCTCAGCTGTAATATCAAATAGTTGAGTCACAAGTTGGCAGAATGGCAAAAGCTCATATTTTGCTGCACGAAACTAATTGCTTGACATAATGAAGCAAGCTTTCACTTGATGGAAAAAGACTGAAGTGTATCCGCGTGTTTACCATCAATTTAGTCTCAAATCTTACATGAGTGCGTTTCCTCAAGTACTCATTACGGGTTGATTGATTTGGAAGCAGGTCTGCGACGATGTTTACCAGCGTCCTTGTTAGAAAACAGAACTGACATTGGCTGCAGAGATTCAATTGACTTCATCTTACTCCACCGCCAACAAGGGAGAGAAAACGCCTTCAAAAAGTCAATTACAGCCTGTATCCTGTGAAAGGGAATGTGAGGGGAGCACATGCTAATGCTACTAGCTTGCTAAAGTACCTCGTAGACCAGCTCGTGATGGAAGTGAGGGACCTCCAGGTCCCGCAGACAGTGTTCTGCCTCCGATACATCTCCAGATATAAGGTACTCTTTGAGGAGAAGGTTCATCTGCAGAGAGCACACACACAAATAACACACAATAGTAAATGAGCTGTGTGCAGTTACAGCAAAAAGTGAGACGTCAGCTGAGGGGAACCACACACACACAGAGGTTTACCAACTCCAGATATTCATCTGAAGCCATATTACCACTGCTAAAAGTGCACGAAGGAAGTCTTTGAGAATTTAGACGGTAAACACATTTGCATTTATTCTCCCTGTTCTCTTATCCATCAGATGAGGCTTCACTGGTGAGTGGGCTCGACTGTCTCGGCCCAGCTGGCAAACTGAACGTGCATTAGCGGGCGCCGCTTTATTTAAAACCCATTTGCGTGGCAATTAGTCACGGCACTTGAGATCTGTGAGGTGTGCGGTCCGTGTGAGAGGCTCGTCGCTGCAGAGGAGTGAGGGAGGGCGGGAGAGTGAAGGGATGCTGTGCCTGAGGCCGAGCTCAGCCTGCAGGGGTTTTCAAATCATGACCGACTTTTACGTCGGAGGAAACCCGACGGGGGACAAACCCTCCCATTATCACGTTAAATCGCCCCAAAAAAAATCACGCAAAGGAGCATATTCTGTCAGCCGCTGTGCCAAATGTGAGTAAATTGGAGCCTGCTGCAAAGTTAGCTACTCTTTTTAGACGGGAAAGAAAAGGACAAAACACAGTCAGTCAGCGCGAGCGTTTCATCCTCGTTAAGGCGTTTTAACGGTCAGTTCCCTGAATTCTATCCTGCATTCTGAGCCTGGTAAAAACAAACAGCCTGTGCCAGAACTCTGTGCTTTTCCTTAGGCTGCACAAAACCTGGAAGGAAATCAAATCAGATGGTCAGAGGGCTGCACGATGCTCCGAGTGGGCACACTGAAGCAGCACTCAAAAGAAGAAAAAAAAAAAACGAAATAGTGGATAAATACGTGTGAAGACACACAACGTGTGAATGTGTGAGGATTGCAGATATGCGTGTTTGTCTACTTATATCCACCTCCCGTTGTGCTCACTCAGCAGAACAGCAGCCTGTGGGTCTGTACCCAGCGTGCTTCTTTGCCTTCTGTTTACACGATGTGATGAAAACAAAGAGCTCGAGAGTTCAAAAATTCTAATTCAATTGTTCTGAATCATGAATCAACTGTTTTATTGTTGTCTTGTTATTTGGGTTATCGTTTGATTTTTTTAAGTTAAAGAACGAGGTTTGAAATCCTTTTTGCGGTTAGGGTTAGCGTACCTCTTTGACGAGATGCTTAACGGGTCTCAGACCTCCACCGACACCCCACACGTTATCCAGGCGAACCATCTCCCTCTTCATGGTCAGAAGGACAGCAGCCCGGTCCAGAGCCACTCTGGAAGAAGACGAATACCCAGAGACTGAGCAAAACGTACGCTTTGAAAATGAATGTACATGCCAGGCTCTTCCGAGGGGGCCTCACCTGGCATGCTCGCAGTCCACTTTGCCTTTGTAACAATCCAGGAAGTTCATGGGGAGGGCGTGGTCCGCTATGGCTCTGGCAATAAACTGGCCCAACATCTGCAAGAGTTGAGAGAAAATGCCTCATAAAAGACGCGAAATGCTACTGTATATCAAATGTGTGAACGATATGCACGATACAAAAGTGCTTTTTCTCATTGAAATAGTTTGATTGAGATTCGAAATTAGATGATTTTCAGAATTCAAAACCATTCTTTCCTTTTTTTTTCTTAAGAATATTATGTTATCCATAATAAAGCCTGAAGAGCCACAAAAATTTCAATTTAAATGTAAAATCAAAGAAACCCATCAAATAAGTGAAGCAGATTTTCAAAGAAATCCTTTTTTACATATATTAGAATCTTCAATTTTGATCATTTTTCCCTTCAAACTCTGTAATCTTACAGCTAAGTCAAAAAGTGCTGTTTCCTTAGATAATATATAAAAGCATTTTAAATTAAACTCTTGATGCAGGGTATCTAAAATAAAGAAAAAACTATTCACATTTTTCTACCGCACACATACAGACCATGTTCCTACAGTCTGAGATTAAACAGGCCCCACATTCAGCAAGTTGCAGAGCATAGGAAAAGCATTAAAAAAGTGATTATGAGCTCTGCCTGGACTGGGCCTTTAATAAATAATCAATATCATAAAAAGGCGTAGCCATATATGCATGTGGTGTCATCTGCTGCAAAAACCACAAAATGATAAGCAATGTCGTGCCGAAACTTGCGCTGGAAAGACTAAATATAAAGCCTGCACTGGGCCATATCTAATCTTTCAAGTTTGTTGAGCCCTGCGGCGAGGCATACAGCACAAGTGCAGATCTGACTGCGGCGGATTCCGCTTCCCCTCTACCTGCGGAGCCTCCGGTGTGTCCAGAATGAGGTCGGGCAGCTCCTTCAGCATCTTGTCGAAAGCCCGGGCCATGTCGCCCTGCGACAGCATCTTGCCCGACAGGTCGGACAGCAGGCGGGAGGTCAGCTCTCTGTGACTGGCCTTCCCCTCGAGGGACAGGGACACAGCCAAGGAGGAGAACTCGTACTTATGTGGGCCGAGGTTGAGCTCTTTCAGTAACATCTGACAGGTGGGGTGGGGGAGAAGTAAAAAGAAAAAAGCTTTATGGAGCAGATGTACAGTATTGTTACACCTTTCTTTCCTGGGCAGTGCCAATGCCAACTGCTCAGCCTTGGATCACATACCTGGACCTCTTTTGTGTCTCCGTGCTCAAAGTACTCTTGTACGATTGGGTTGACCATCTTCTCCAGTTCCCTCTCGTCCACCTCTGGAACAACAGTCGCATAAACGGTGTCTCCCTGTGGAAAGGCAGACGTGCAATCGTTCAGAAAAATCTTTTCCGGTACATGCTGTCTAACATACAATCAGCACATCCCCGACTAAGCAGTTTATCATCAGCTTCCTGTCAGCAAGATAGGGCAAAACAAATAAATAAATAACTCTCCCATCATGCCATCATAACATATAGTTTTATATAAAGGGAGAGTGTGTAGTATTTGAAGTATTTTACTAGCTTAAATAATTTTCTTCATTTCTAAATGTGTCCTCATTTGGTGTAAAATGACCTCTGCAATGATCTGACTTCTCCTCATAAGCATAGAATTTCCTATACTTGTATATACATAGGACAGGTAAGTCCACGGAGGTTTCCATGTCGTTCCCCCATTTTGAAAAACTATAATCGCAGAGAGGGACATAAAGCACTCGTCTACCTGTCTAGGTAGACCACAACGCGTGTTCGTTCAGAGCCAGTCACGTGACTGAGTCATTTTCTGGCTCGAGGAGTAATTACATGCTCACACCAATGATTCAATGGAGTTTGTCATTTCTTTTAAATGACACACCTCATCACCTGAGAGAAAACTCGATGATGTGGAAGTCATGTTGTCATTACTTCTTGATGCATGACGGCTACCATAGTTGCAACCCTCATTTGAAAGCGCAAGGCAGTAGAGAGCACGATTTGTTACAAAGCAAAATACAATACACGGTGTATTGTGTACATTTAAAAACAAAAACAAAAAGCCTGACACGTCTATAATGCCTTCAAAGATGCTAAACTGTGTTCTCAGTTCAAAACCTTCTATCTAACCATAGATGCCAACCATCTGCAAGTATAAATGACCAACCTGATCCACTAACTCTACGGGTAAGGCTTTCTTTTACCGGAACATTGGTGACCATTTTTTACAATAATGACCCTTTTATGGACAGGATAGGTAGAAAAATCATGATCAGGATTAAAGTGGATAATGAAAGCACTGATATTTTGTTTTGTCAGTTCAGAATTAAATCGGCAAAACCAAAGTCAAATTCTGGTAAAAGGACACGTGGGATTTGAAAGTAGGTAGCTCTACAATTTTTGGGGTCAACAGTGAGGCAGTTTTGGATTATTTTTATGTTTGGTTAGTAAAATGGGGAAAAAAGGAACGAACAGGTGGTTTTACAACTGGTAATAATTCCCACATCAATGGTTCTGGAATTCATTTTTACCCTTTGATATCCCCACCCCCCTCAATCACGGGATGACCTGCAACAGCCAATCTGTTTTTAAAGCCACAGTCTGCACATGTCTCCTTTATTTTTCTGTACCAGCCTGTCCCCGTTCCTTTAAAGATGGATATACCACTGAACTTCATGTAACAGCCAAGGCCAAATCAGAATGGCTTCTCTGAGCCATTCTCAAACAATATCACCCTTTTACAGACATACGCTGCGTTCTCACCCTGCATTCAGTCATGTGACTGCAAGGCTGGCCAAAAAAAACAAAAAAAAGCATGGCCTTCAGCCCCCTATCGAGTGCTTGGGTGATAACAAGGTTAAAGATTGAAAACTGTTGATTGGGACGGGGGGGAAGCCATCTGGATTAAACAATCATGTCAGTGGGTGTTTTAAATATATATAATTACACAGTCAATCGTTTTCAACCCACTGAAAAAAAACATACCATTTAGATTTCAACATTTCAAGACATCAACATCCGAATATCTTTATTATAAAAAAACAAAACAAGGAGAACTGTGGAAAAACAGAATGCAAGGCTCTCACAAAACACACACAGCTGTCGGTGCATGTGCAGGACGGCACGGTGGCATGCAAGAAGAAAGACCTGTTAAATAAGAACCCATTATAAAGAACAAAGAGCCAACACCCTGCTGCTGAGAGAAAGCTGACGACCGCATTTAAACTCTTTCACGGCATTACAAGAAAACATAGTAAAAAGAACAACAAAAATCTAAGGGAAAAACCGAAAAACGAGAGATGTCACTGATGACTCTGTCAAATCTTTTTTCAAGCCAGTTGACCATAAGAAAGTTAGATGGAGGATTTCTCACGTATCTGTAGCGATTCTCTCACCTGGGAAGATTCATCATAGTTTGGATCCCGTATATCCGGCTCCTCGTCTTCGTAAACCATCCCGGCTGCCCCCCAAACGCCTTTTCCGCCTGCCCCGCCTGGAAAAGAAATCATTTGGAATTTTTTAAGGTGACACGGTGCTTCTCACTTTGTTTAGATACACTGATCACATATTACAGCTCCAATCATTCAACAGGAAAACATGTTTTTTTTTTATCAAGTTCTGAGTTCTAAGTTTATCAGACAGAGGAGACCAGTTTCTCTGGACTACTGATGCTGAACCCACCTTTTTTGGGCAGGCCCCTCCCTTTGCCTGTCCTGGATTTGCGGTCATTGGTGTTGACCTTGCCCTTCGGACTGTGCGGGTCACCTCCGGCCAGCTCTCCCGACTCGGAGATGGACTCGCTGGTGGAGTTGCGGGACGAAGACTTGCGCAGGCGGCGTTTGGCTTTGGCTTTGAGGCGGGCCTCGTGCAGCGCCTTCTCCTGGGGCGTCCAGTTGCCGTTGATCTCGGCATCGTTCAGCGCCTCCTCGTCGTCGCTGTATGCGTGGCTGGCCTCCGCCGGGTTTTCACCCAGAAAGTGCATCCCTGTGGTCAGACAGCGGAAGCAGGGCACAGCCAGTCAACGGCCAGTCAACGGCCCGATTGGCTCACAGCAAAAACACAGACAAATGATGCAAACCGTGTTTGCTCTGTGCAAAGTCAGACAGAAGATGAGTCCAGGGGGTTTGTTTTCAGTGGCTAAATTCCATATTAGCTTCATAGTGATGGTTAACTGGCAGCAGGCTGCCATTTAACATCACATTTATGGAGAGGGCCGCATCTAGTTTCGAATAAGTCGTGCTGCATAGCAGACCTGTGAAACAGCTCCGATACGTCTGTAGGCCAACACGGTCGAGTTTGACACGCAGTCACATGTTCAGATAAAGTTAAGACCTCAAATATTTACTCAGGAAACAAATTTCTTCAGGAAAGGTGTGCATTTACATAAAGAAAACACAGATATTGTGCAAAAAAAAGTGCACACGTTCTCAAAAAAGAAAAATAGAGAAGTGAAATAAGTCATCAGCGGTTTTTGGGTCGCAGCTGAACAGCATCTTAAGAGCTAGAAAGAGACTAAACCACAAATCTTGGAGTTACTCTCCCAATACTGTCCCTAATCTTACTTTTTTTTCCTCTCCTTTTGGCCCGTTTGCATTAGAAACCACACCCGGGGCAATACTATGGCTTCTGCCTTGTAATTGAACCTCCTGTGGTCCCCATTCCATTTTCCTTCTACGTCCATGTTCTGCATTCCTTACTTTTTTGCTCTCAGGAAGGAATTTGAAATATCCTAAGAAACTTGATTGCAGGAACTTTGGGGCATATTGTTTAACATTTACAGTCGGCATATTTCTTGACAAAATATCTATCTAATCTGGCTGGCTTCCTCGTGGGGAGCAGCTTAAAAGGTAGTTTCCACAACGCAGCATGTTTGTCCCAGAATGCACGCTAAGCAAAGCCAACTCATTAATCAGAGGACAGGAAGGTGTTAAGCCTGTCCACAGCTCCGGGATTTGTTGCTGGAGACCACAGAGACACGAGTAATGCTAATTTAGTGAGCGTTCAGCAAACACAAAAGCCCTGGAGCGCGTAGATCCGCTCTGAGGGGGACGGCAATGCTCTCTGACTACTTGCATGAGAGCGGCCTCTGTGTGTGCGTGTGTGTGTCGTGGCGGTGTTTAACGCAGCGTGCCGAAGGCCACACAACACTGACAACTTGGAGGCCCTCGTCCCTTCTATCGGTAGTCATGAGGTGGGTCAAGTTGGCTTCTGACATGCTTCTCTGCTGTGGCAATAAAGGAATGCTATATTTAGGGTTCAGGTTAAAGTGTGTAGAAAGACACACAACCTAACCGGTGGCCCCGGAGCGCAGCTGCAGCCACGGTAGGAGGAGGGGGTGCGACAGGGGAGCACATGGTGGAGAAATGCTGACTCTGTTTTTTTTTGTTTTTTTTTAAAGACTGGATATGACTGCATATGGCATGGTTGGGTCCATGACCGGTCACATGACGAGTTAGTAGGAGTGACTGACGGCAGGAATGGGAATAGCCAGGGAGGTAATGAATGCTTATCCCTCACCCCCCAGCTCCAAATGAAAGCTTGGAGTTCTGGACCTACAGATTACAGAGGGGGAGGCCGGCCAGGCCACAGACAGAGCTTTGAGCGAGCTTCAACCAGCCGCTCGCATTCATCGAGCCCGCGAAGGCTTGGACTTCTGAAACAAACGCGCTTTAAAGAGTTGCTGGAGAGGAGCAAAAAATACGTCTGCCGAGTCCTAGGAGAGGCAGACGGAGCAGATAACAAACAGCGTAGCACCACCCAGACTTCACCTATGGAAGTTAAAGGAGTGCCACACCCATGGCCTTCGAAATCTGTAAACAGCCGACCATGTGTCACCTCCTCCTCCTTCCCCATGTAGGCCACAGAGCCTGCTGGAGTTGTAAATCAGGAACTAGCCAATGGCAGCAGGCCAGACACCCTACTAGCCAACCAAAGCAAGGCATACACACACTAAGAGAAAAAAAAAAAAAAAGAAGAAAAGTAGGAGACAGATTGCAGCTGTTTACCAAGTGAAGACCTGTCAAACAAGCCAGACAAAAAAAAAAGGCAGCCAGGTTGAGTTAACTTTTTAAAACATGTCAAAGATAACGCAGCTGGGTGCCAGGAGTGTTGCGTAAGAGAAGGCAGGTCTGTGTGGCTGTCCCCTGAAACCCCGGCAGCAAACCCCCCCCCCCCCCCGTCTGTTGTGGGCTTCAAAGCGGCGCGCGTGCCGGTGGGCGCTGCGCTGCTGGCAGAAACCTTTTTAAAGCCGCCCCCCCCTGCAGAGAGCCGGGAATGGGGGGGGCACCTCGTCCCTGCAGAACAGGGCTGCGCTGAGGTGTTGGGTTTGAGTGTTTATGAACCCGAATGGGGGTCACTGGGGCACAGTTTTCACATGGCTCCCCGGGGACCAAGCTGCCCTTTCAAAACGGCCACGTTTGTATCCCTTTCCAAACTTAAGAATATGAACCATAATGCCTTTTGCTGGCACACCAATTCACGTTCATGCGCTGAAGGGAGGAGGGTTGTTTTTATTTCTTTTTTATCTTTGCTCACTCACCAATTTTAGGACGGGTACTTTGCGAGCTATATAACGGCTAGTCAGAGTCCAGAAGATAACTTTCCCACGAGGGACAAAGTTGCACATGCAGATTTTTTTAAGGAAACTTTGCTTCACTCACATCTGGGTGTCTGTACACGTCTTTCAACATGCCCAGAGAGGATCCACCTTTATGCAATTTGGGACATTTCTTCCACTCTCCAACTCCCAAAAGCCAGCTTTCCGGACACATTAGACTTAAATCGTGCAAACCCAAGTTGAACGCGTCGCAACAAATCCAAGCCAAGGGTGCAGAACATTAAACGCCCACACAGCTAGAGGGCCGTGCGGGGTGTTCTGCTTTTGCACAGGCAAGGCTTCCGCAAAAGGCCAAAACTGCATTAATGGCAACAGGGTGCTTTTCTCACCTCTTTCTTTAACTTTTAATTGCATTTTCTTCCCTCTGCCAATATCTAGATTGTGAAATGCAGAGCTGCTTTCAGCCTCAGTTGCACAACCTGAAGCAACCGAGTGAGCCCTCTGCTGTGAGATAAAGGGGGACTAATGTCTGTTGGGTCCTGTGGCGATTATCTGCCACAGGAGCTGGAAGGGTGTGGATGTTTCCTTGGGGTTTAACTGTCATTTTGTTTAATGAAAGGAGGCCCGGGCAGAGTTTCCACTTAAGCACATGCTGCAGACGGCCGGCCTTATGCTCCGCACAATGGCGGTTTGTGTGTGAATGCACAACAGGAGCGGCGGAAGACGAGCGACGGGCCACACACAAACTGTAAATAACAGCTTTGTTAGCTGCCGAACAAAAACTGTGTCTTGGACTTAACGGAAGCAAATTTGCACCAAGGGGTGTGAGGGTTATCAAACGGGGAGCGGCAAACATCACAGCACGTACTAAAAAGTCATGAATCTATCCGACCTGACCAGATGTACATCAAACAGGTCCCAGTTCTACAACGTTCGCATAGGCGGGACTTTAAGCTTAAAGACGCACACAGATCAGCGAATCTCTGCAGTTAAACGTCCGGCTGAAAAGTCCATGAGAAAACTTTACAATGTGCGAAATAATCTGAACATTTCACAACTTTTTCCTGACCTGCGCAAACAAGTCAAACTGGAAGCCGAATAAAAAGTAAACAAAGTACTATCTAAGTCTTCTGTTTTACACAACTACTGTTGTCAGGCCACTTCAGGGTAGCAGCGCTCTGTTCATACTACTAACACGCATGAGCTGCTCTGTAATGGTGGGAGGTTCCTTTTACATGGCAGGAGGGGTACAATAACTAAGAGGAAGGCACTGATAATGACAAATCTAAAAAAAAGTCAAAGAACGTTTCATATAATTTACTGTGGACATACCCTTTTCATGACCCTATCAAATAATATTTTGGACAGAAAAAGCACTAATTACACATCAAACTCAACAGAGATGGGGATAAATGCTAAATTTGCAAACTAACAGATACAAAAATCGTACGTGGACATGTGCAGGAACCAAGAACTGTGGTTAATACTGCAACCCTTTTATGCTATAAGTGGTAAAAGTGTGAACAGTTGAATAGACCACAAGCCTGACCTTAAGCTAATGCTGACATTGCAGAGTCTGGCAACTTTTTCAAAATACAACGGGGGGGGGTGGGCGGGGTGGACTTGACATGCTGCAAGAAACAACACTAGCATCTGAAGATCAGATGAAGGAGAAAACAGCCATTTAGATTCTGATCACTTGAGAAGAAGTCCTGTTTGACAGCGCTAACCTTCCCCCGCTGGGCCAGTTTATAGGGTCCAGATTGGCCCACATTGTGGGGACTTGTCTCCCCCCTTGTATTCCAGCCGCAGACAAAAGGCCCCTTTGACAGCACAAACGTGGCCAGAGGCTGCCTCTACAAGCAGGGGCAGCTTGAAGCGTCTGAAGACGTTCATGCAGGGAAACACACTGGTGCACAGAGGCATAAGCCCCACACGCACGCCATGTGGAGTGACATGCACACGCCTGTCAATGGCAGAGTGCTTTTAGCCAAGCTGAAGCCAGGTCTGACTGTAGATTTTCCCAAAAGCATGAAATACTAGAAGTGTTCCGTATGCACGTGTTTCCAGGCAAACAATATACGTTTATTACGTAATTTTTTAAATACACAGCAAGGCACAGATTACGTAAAGCGTTCCCCTATGGCTCTGGGTGTAGAGCATACGTTCTGACGTCACCACTTAACCGAAATAGAGGAGCACGTAGCCCTTGTTGTGCACGGAGCTCATTAACGTAAAGGAAAACCGTGAAAGGGGACGTGGAAGCTTCACTGCTTCCACTGGACTGGATTGGGGGGGCGAATATAGGTTAATGCAATAAAGTGGTGCGAGACAAAAACGCGCCTTTTTGACCAAATGTCACGAGAACCCACAGTAAACAGAGAAAAAAATAGCACCTGTGTGCTACCGAGGACATTTATAAAGATAAGCGCCCACACACACACACTCAAAAAACATCCTTTAGCAGTCATTCGTTCCGACGCCTAAAAAAAGGATGCAGAAAACAAACAGAGCGTGCACGCGGAGCCCAAGACTTACCAAAGCGGAAGTGAGCATTGTGGCCTCGTCCAATCACAAGCGCGAAAGGGTTAAATGGCAGCGCAGACACACGACGGCAACAATCAACGCTCGGGCTTCAAATAAATCCATAAAACCTCATTATCGCCCCCTTCGAGCTCGGTGTTAATTGAGCTCTTAAAAGTGCAAAAAAAAACCTTGGCCCCGCTTCCATTCCTGGCGCTCGGTGTGTTTGTGTGTGTGCAGCGGGGGCACATGGTGGAGAATGGCTGGCAATGCAGCCCATCCCATGCACGGACAATGGATTATGTAGAGCACCTATGCAGGCCCTGAGCTTTTGCTCACCTATAATTCGAACCCCCCCCGAGGGCGAACCCATGCACTCACCGTCGGCCTGAGGAGCGCTGGACAGAACATCGACTTGGGTCGCCATGGCGCTCTTCGGTCTCTCGGTTAAAAAAAACCCCTCCACACGGCAACGCTTCTTCCGTCGAACTGCCTTCAGCTGCAACAGCCTCCACCGAAAAAACTAAAAAACTAAATGCAAGCCTACACCTATATATTTTAATGCAAGTCTTCTGACCAATAACAAGAAGGGGGAAGATATACAATTGTCCCTCTGACTCTCTCTCGTTCTTTTTTTTTTTTTTTGGCGTTGCACGGCCTCTGCTTCTGGGGAGCAACACACACAAAAAAAAGCAGATGAAAATGATGTGCAAAGACCCGAGAAATGCTACTGAGTGTCAGGGCGAGAGTCTAAAGGGCTTCTCAGCGTCAGCCGCTGAAAAGATAAAAATAACGAAGACGGCCGGAGAAGAAAAAAAGGGTAACAGGTCGGATAGGATTTCAGCAAACGGCCAGGAAGATAAACAAAGTCTGTTTTTAACTTTGAGCGAGCTTTCAGAGGAGTCACGTGGAAAGAATCGCGGCGGGGAGTGGTCAGCTTTGGGGGTGGGTGCTGGTCCAATCTGACCAATCACAGAGCCGGAGCGTCCACCATGTCAGCCAAAAAGATTCTGCTCAATGTTTGGTTTTTCTGTAAAAGCATAAAGAAAATTGTGTTTGTCACAGAAGCCACACCCTCATTATGTACACCAAATTTATTATTTGTGGTAAAGCTACAAGTTTTTATTCCAATACGTTGCCGTTTTTATTTATTAAGTCATTACATTTCTGTCGATTTTTATGTGTGCATTTGTATTTGTAGTTCTTTGGCTTGGTTCTTCCACAAAGCGGCTTTATCTTTGAATATTTAAACAATTATTTGAATAATGCAACGACAGCAATGTGCTAGAAATAGGGAAACACCGATACATGAAGTGTTTTTGCCATCTGGGTTTACACCGCTAGAGGGTGCTAAAGACACATAAAGCTGGGTTAATGAGAGCACTATGGGAGATTTTATTTTGCTAATTTTCTGCTCCCTTTACTTTATCTGTTCTTTCTCTTGGTATGACAAAACATTTATTCACTAACCCTTTTTTCCTGTTCTGATGCCAGGAGCATTCCTCAATGGTCTTGTATTAGGACATTACCAACAGATATGGGATTTTTTGGGTTGTGCATGAGAGTCACAGAGATTGCTTCTCATACCTGCCATCGGAGGACATGTGTACATTGAGTTCAGAGGCTTGGCTTACTCCTCAGATTCTTTGCCATCTGCTCTTATAGGTCATCCATGCAAAGAAATTGCTCAATGTGAGCACCAGAGGCAACAAGAAGACAACAAGACCTGTATAAATTTGACAAAACTACAGTCATATTGGGTAGCACGTTTATTTTGACACAAAGTCCACAGTTTTTTGTTGAATAAAGCAGCACAGGTGTCTGCGTCTAACAGAACCAAATGGATCATAAGCAAAGAAGCATCAAACAAAAACAAGTGCAAAGAATGTATGCAGATATAAAAAAAATGTGAGTTTTCCAGAAATACACCACATGTCAAAACACAAAACCAACCTGACAGACAGAAAAATGTTTGAGTATTCATATTGACACATATCATGTTACAAATTCCAGCAACACTCAACAACAATGATCCTAATAACAGCTGAGAATAACTCCCTCACACACGCATACAACACACCGAAGAGCTGCAGGTAGAATTGCACAAAGTCATAATAGTCATAATATTAATCCGAACTATGCCACATATAGTCACAAATGGACACAGCTATACTGTTTTCTGCTCTCTCGTAGCTGCAGAATTGAGAGGGGAACACCTTGTGTCCCCAGAGAGAAAAAGTTTAGAGCAAAGTGGTTCAGCAGTAACAACGTGGCTTTTTTTAATTCCTCAACTGTTGTCATTACAAAATGAAATGGTACAAATATAGATTAAGTGCTTTCTCCAGAAGAAGAAGTAGAAGTAAACAGTCCTTTGCAGTCAAAACTCAAACGAGGTAACAGTCTTGCATCAGGCCTTGGCCTACAGTTTGCACATTTTATCTGTACACAGTAGCTGCTGACAAGGCAAAATGAATCAAATGTGCTCTATGTACAACGACCTCTGAAAAGTCTGGCATCAGCTTAGACCCAAAATATAAATACAACTGGCATAAGTCTGTGCCTCTAGTGTGCTACGACGAAAAAGTGTCATGACCACTTTACAGAGTGCTAAATATCTCTTCTTCTGTCTATGTAGATATGGATAAAGGTGTTTATGAGTTAAGTTTTTATTAGTGGGACTATTCCCAATTCACATGAGATCAACGGACATAATGGCCAGATCCAGGAAAAAGATAATTAATGAGATGAAAAAATAAAATTATACAGGAGGTGTGTTCTTGTTCCCTTTTTGAAACTTTACAAAGCATTAGAGACGAGTGAACATTGTGTCTAACTTTTTAGTTTCCTTTTAGGATAGAACTCAAACGTGAAGCTGAACTTCACAATTCTTCTAGATGAAAAAGAATTAAATACATTTACTGCTAAAACCCTTCAAACTGAATTAAGTTTGGCATGATGCCACACTCAAATCAGTGCCAAATGTTTGTTGTTTTGCACCAAAGATAAATATGCAATAATAAACTATAGATGCACATTTTTGGGCTTTGGTTGATATGAAAAGAAGTCTCGTCTTATGAGATGTCATAGAAATCTTTTAAAGGAAATGTACTTTTATTGCAGACAGAGAGAAGCTCAGCGCCTACTTTTAGGAACAATTCTTGTTACTGTGAAAAAAAGTCGTAGCAATAGATGAGACACAGACAGGATCAAATGTAAAAGCACAACATTTGAGTTCGCACTTGGGAGAAACGATCCGCCAAAGGCATTAAAAATGCTGTGTTTGTACAATCAGGGGCCCATGCCCTGCACAGCTCACGGATCTGTTATAAAGAGGTAAATGTTTCACAAAAGTTTATTTCCCATCAACCAGCATTAACTAGAATAAGGAATATCTTGAATGCTATTGCTAAATACAGTTACCTTTAGTCTAACGTGTACCGTATTTATACAGACATCTAAGTGCTGACACAAAACACCCCCCAGACAGTCAAATGTCAAACCATCCCCAATTTGAAGGAAAAACACACATATATTAATAATAACTACAGAATGTCTCATAGAGTGTCTGTATTCATCTAGGCACCAAATACTTCGATCAACAACGTACATAAACACGAACACAACGAAACTTGGTAGAAGGCTTTCATGTATTTCAGAGGATCAACAGCCGGCAGCCTTCGACATACACCTGTGAGTCACCACACGGGGAGCTTTGAACAGAAACTATCAGAAGATGACCCTCACAACAAAACCAAACTGCAGGATAAGCCATTTCGCAATCTTCAATACCCCTGAACAAGTTACCTTTCTCAAAAAAATGTTATAGTTAACTGTGGCAAAGTTTTGTGCGCACAGATCGATAAAGGTGTTGACAGTTAAGTCAGCTTTTGACTAAGGACACAGTAAGGTGCCCTTTTGTGTACAAGCTCATGACAACAGCAAGACAAACACAAACAAAACAAGGTTAGAGGCATTGCCTTTTTCTAAAGCCCGCACATTTTGATGTTTTTTTACAAAACAGTCTGTGTGTGTGTGTGCTAAGCTTTAAGTCCTACGACCAAACAATAAGCGCATTGGTTAAGATTATGACATTGGCCTAATGGGTCAGAGAATTTTCTTTTGACGGAAAATACAAACTAGGCTTCAACACACAATCCACTGGGGTGCACTTAGAAAAGCAGTCTAACTCTTGGAGGTGCCAAGTTTATCCACAGCAGCAGAAATTAAAATAGACTGACAATGTCACATAACCCCTCAACCTTACAGGTTTGGTGGTTAAAAAGTGTTACTCACTTTGGAAAGACATTTTCAAAGCTTCAAGCTGGCTTCAAACTGTACAGTTTTGTTGAAGCTCTGCACACCTTTCCAGACGTTTTTAGCCAAGCATTCATTTATAAAAAAGAAACCCTAATAAAACAGTATTAGTGTAGCTTGTTGTTCTGCATAACGTTTTACATTCATTATCACTAATAAGATTAAGCATAAAGTTTCTGCTTTTCGAAGATTCAACAGTCCATCCATGGAGAAACAGATTCAGTTTTATCCCAAACCTGGAAACAGTCAGTTCAACATTCTGAAACAATTACTTTTTTCTCTGCTACTGTACTACCCTAAAAGCTTTGCAGGCAAAATAATGTTTCTACCTCTTCTCATAAAAGAAGCAACATCTGCCACAACATATAAAATATCAATCCAAAATAGCTGTTTGGCTTTAATTTCATTTCCCAAAACTAAAGAAAACAGTCCTTACTTTTCAACATCTGTGTTTACTACATTGGATGAGTACTTCCAGGTGAGGCAAAGGTTCTTAATTAATTTGCCGTATTACACGTCATACTTATAGACCCTTACCTGTTACCTCATCATATTGTGTGCCGTACGTTTCTCTTTTTTTCGACTTGAGCCATTTTCAGATATCCTAAAACTTGGTGCTATCTTGAAGTACAAACAGCAAAGAGCTAAGACAAAGTTAAATCCTGTATACTTTGTCATATTTTTGTGCTCATTCCATAAAGACATCTTGATACAGGCTGGGAACCACTGTTTCAGGGGAATTCATCTCATGGAGCTAAAACGCTACTGGGAGAGCAGTGTCGCATCACGATGAGAGGAGTTAAAGAAAAAACAGTGGGCCTGCCTCACATGGTAACTGCAAATCTGCTACAACTGTTGTTTTTAGTTGATTGTGCCAGAAAGTTACAGAGAATAGGCATGGAATTAGTCTGTATTTTCAGGGGTTTCCATGGAAAAACAAACATGACATCTCCAGAACCCCCGACCCAGCGAACTACAAATAGTTCAAAAAGTCACTTTCCTTGTTTTCTTGGTTTCTCCTCAAACGGCTTCAATATTTTTTCCCGTTGCTCTACTTGCAACTGTTACAGCAAGATCTGCAAGACTTCTCTTCAGTGATTCAACTTCTCACTTACTAGTCTCGGCCTTACTTTTCCCTCTTCCTTGACAAAAAGTTTCCTTTCTTTCGACTTACGAGGACTCCATGGTGATGATGGCTTCGCCAGCTTTATGGCTGACACTGGAGGATGACGGGACCCCACCGAGCCATTCCTCACAGTTGTCCGATAAAGGTGTTTGCACCAGGGGCTTCGTGTCGGGGCTTCCCTTCTCCTTCCCAACCTCTTTTCTTCCATCATCGACGAGCCCTTTTTGTAGTTCCGCCTCCCCTCTCTTCACATGACAGTGGCACACCTCAATGCCCGAGTCACCTGTAAGTCGGCGATGCCGGAAATGATCCTCCTCATCATCATCTTCTTCTTCTTCGTCATCCAGTTCCCTTTCATGTTTTTGCTCCTCTTTGTTGTTTGTGTGCACAGAAACACTCGCGTCTGACTTGTGGCAGGTCTGGGTCGAGGGAGAAGGGGTGAGCCTGGACACCTGACCGTGAGAGGAGACAACTTTATGAGCGGCCACAGCGCCAGCTTCTTCTGAAGGAACGAGAGGATGGACTTGACGAGGAGGAATGGGGCACAACTGGACAAAGGGGGAGAGTGGGAGGCGGGAAGGGTGTGCAGGGCGAGAGTGGGAAGAAAAAGAAAGAGGAGCAGGACAGGACACTTCTTCACAGCCATTGGGAAAACATGTCAGCACTGGTATGGCATCAGGTGTGGATGTGGGGATAGCATCTGGAGGAGCTTGGGGAGGGAGTAAGGGGGAAGGGGACGGTCTCAAGCTCGCCCCGACGCTTGGCAAGACGGCAAAGTCGCCCCCTGCCTCGCTGGGGGTGGAGTTGTGGCTGCTGTCGTAGGTCCCATCCGTCACCTGCACAGAAAAGGAGGTGCTGGAGGGGGAGGTAAAGGAGCAGGACTCACAGGAGCAGCTGGTGTAGTTGTCAGAGCTCTGAGAGGAGGTCAGAGCGCTTGGGCCGGGCCCCAGGTAAGGAGGGCAGGGGTGGCGTTGGTGGTGACGATGGGGGTTGGAGGTGCTGGGACCCCCTGATGTACCTGCCTGGAGGGCAAAGACGGAGCTGTAAGGCGGGGGAGGGGTGCTGGGCTGGGCAGCTACCTCCTCGTAGGAGGGCAACTTCAGGGAAGTCAGAAAACCTGTAAGAAAAGAAGGATTGATTAGATGTAAGCTTTTCTACATTGAGGCTGGAACAGGGTGAACTGAAGGTACCAAAATAAACATCAAAGTAATCCCACTAAGAAACATGACCAGATAGGCTGTAGTTTATTTCCCAGTGCCATGGACCAAATAAGATTAAAACAAACAAACCGACATCGGGCATCAGGTTGGTAAAAAGACATTGAGATGTTAGGTCCAAAAATTATGAACGAAAACACTGAACGTACTGAGGTCCAACATTGAGGAGGGATAGTTGCATGCTCCGTTATAAGCAATCAGATTGATTTCTCTCTGTCTCTGCTGCTGCTGGATTCTCAGCTTGGCTCGGCGGTGGCGGTAAGCACAGAAACAACTGAAGAGGATAAGCACAGTCCACAGCAGCCAGAACCCTGCAAAAAGCAGGAATACTCAGCATTATGAACTCAAGCCTGCACATGTAGAAGAAACACATCTCCTCAGTGCAAACTGTGAAAGGTTAAGATACTAAGCAACATTTACTCATCTATCAACTATCACGAAATGTATTCAAAGTTAGCAAGTCATGGTCAAACCTTGACTATTTTTCCCAATGAAAGTATCATCTTGTGTAGCTCATAATAGTGGTAAAATGTCAATTTTTATATTATTATGCCAAGCATTAAAAAGGGGGCAGTGGGGAGGTTGGACAATGGAATAGTATCGCAAAAAAAATCCTTTACAATCCGATCATAACATATGTTTCAATGTGGGGAAGATCAGCTGGGCTTTCAGGGCCTTTCGAGAGGTGATACAAAGGAGGCAGTTTGGCCGCTGACTTACACCAGAGTTCATAATAGTAGGTACAGCAGCCCGTCTCTCCACAGCAGTGCCCAGTTTCACACAGATAACCTGGATTGTTGTTTACTCCAGGACAGTACTTGGGGCTGATGACAGGCTGGCTGCCAGAGGCCCCGTGGTGCCTCACCACCTGGTGGAAGATAGACCACATCACAACGTAACCACAAAGCCAGTATTTCCAATGCAAAATGCTTCTGTCATTGTTTTGGTGTTTCCTTCACCACCCTTTGTCTTAGAGTTTTTGATCGAAACATCAAGCGAGTAATTAAATCAATTTTCTGCTTCTGTTTGCTGTTTTCTTTTTTTTAAATCCATGATACCCCAACGATGTTCCTCTAAACTTTGACAGTAATCTTGAGAGACACTGAAGGTCTTTCACAGTTTTTCTTTTTTTCTTTTTCACTTGTTCTCCCTTCCGTTCTCGCACCTGAGAATATTTTTGTTTAACCATTTGCATTGTGTCTTACAATTTTGGCAATCAACTTATTTTGAACTACATCCACTCCCCTATCAAATATCTGTAAATACATTTGGATATAATTTAAACATAGTTTTGCAGACAGGTAATATTTTTTGCAGCAACAGCATGACTAAAAAAAAGCCCTTAGATGCTAATTTGGCAAATGTCAGCATGGTATGCAGTGTCTTTGAAAGGTTATATATACTGGACAAGTGAAGGACAACATAGGAAATGGCAGCTTCTGCAAAAAAATGAAATAATGATGCTCAAACCAAATACTGACCCATGTGGTCATTAGAATTAGAAAAACAATTTTTTTACCTCATGTGCTGCATTTATTTTTACACGTTTCAAATCACCCTTTTGTTACGCAACCACCAACTTCATAGAAACCATTTTACTCCAACTGAAGCTATGCTTATCAACGGGAAGTAATCATGGCGGTTTGGTGGTAAAATAAGAGAAGAAATGTGTGAAATGATGTCTCATATGTGACACATGTGTCTCCTGTAACAGAGCTCATGCCCTTACATTTGACAAAATAGCATAGATTCAGTCTTTATTAAGTAATAAAATGTCATTTTCTGTTATTACAAAAACTTTACCCACCTTATCGACTGTGCTCATGTCAATCTCCTTTATGGGCACCTTCAATGAGAAATAGAAAGACAACTTCATATCTGCATCCATATAGTGAAGTTGAAAATTTAGCTGTGTCATATAATGTGGCCGCTGTCACTACTCGAGGAACAGGGTAAAATTATACTAGGCATATTCGCTAAACCCAGAAAATAACCCACACAGATGCTATCTAGATATAAATAGTTAGTTACCCTGATGTACAATAATGTTATGAACACAGTTATCAAACACAGACCGAATGCTCTGCCAAGTAATAATGTATTACCATAGCAACAACTCAGGGAAAAGCTCTGAGACTTTCTTCCCCATGTGGGCAGTGTTTATGTTATTGTGTGTTTTGAACTGTTCAGTGGTGCTAAAAGGCTGGGATCCCTACCGTGGCATCTTCGGTCGCAACCAGACCCTGCAGGGACATAGTCATCTGATGAAAGGCAGAGAGATCCAATGGTTAGGATGGAGCAGTAGGTGGAGACAGTGCATTAAAGTTGTCAAGAATAAACAATATACTGTGTGAAATGATGTGCAACGAAGTTGCCAACTGCTGCTGATCTGGCCTGTCAACGTGATGGGAGGACTTTTTTTTTAACACAGAATGTTCTCTTCTGCAGCATCCTGGCAGCAGGCATCAGTTCACACACATGCCCTCCACTTTACTGTTCTTTGTCTGGTGTTTAACTGCATTTGTTCTCATCAGTGATCTATCTGCTGGAGACGGTCACGTGCGTCTCAAACATTTTACAAAAGATTCCTTTTGGCTTTAGAATCATTTCACTTTCAGCCATCATTACAGACTGGCTTACCTAAAAATACTCACCTTTTGTTTTTAAAAATCAAAATAGTAACTACTTACAATCTTGTGACAATGCTTAAATATTTTCAAACCAATCCAAAGTCCACTCCATTAGACTAGTAACTAATCACCAATGAGCTTATATACTAAAAGCTACAGTTCCTCAATTGGCCACAGACACGTCTGTCAGCCCAAGTTGTTACCATTTCAGACTTGTAGATTTTAGTGCAAAGACATATTATCTCCAAGCATTGTTCACCTCTCTGGTTTGTTCAAAGGTGAACTGTGAAAAAAAAGTCTTAGATTTAATTTCATTAGACCATATATGTCTTATATATCATCCTATAATCAAAAGGGGATTTCGAAATGTAAGAGAGATGTGTTGTGCACACAGTGAAAAGACACAGGCACACAAAGCCTGCAGCCTTTTTACTCTCATGCATTTAACCTTTACAACACCAGGCAAGCTCTACAAAAAAAAACAAAAAAAACTAACCCTTGTTTACAAAGACAACCCGGTAACCTGGCTGGACCTGTCAAGGAAACCAAATAACATATACAAGCCAAAAAGGAGAGACACTGCAGCTCTGTATTTGAGACGTTATTACGAACAACTCACTGCTGCTTTTGTGGTCGGCATGGGCAAAAATGTTGGCACCTGACTGCACTCTGTGCGAGCTGATGCACACATGCGAGTGCAGACACAGCATAAACTACAGTGTGCTGCTAGTGCTAGATGCCATGACCTGAGTTAATGAGTGGGAGATCACAGTGACAGTTTTTTTTTGGTGTGCGTCCACATGTGTCACGCAGAAACAGATCCAACCACAGGCTGTTTATTCCACTGTATGACACCAGTGGAAGGATGAGATAAAACCAGCCAACAGATAAAGACGACAAACAACTGACACTGCAGCACGAAAAGGAAGAGGACTAACTCCAGGCTTCTGCCAAAAATTGATTTGTTTGCAATTTGGACTTTGAGGCCATAAACACATGAGCTGGCAGTACTTAAGTGGCACCTTGTTTTGCTTTTTGCAGAAAGGGGAAGAGCGTGTCTTATAGGGAAAAATGTGTATTTTCAACAAAACCTGTTCAATAACTCGAAAGAAACACACCTACTGACAATATTTGTTTTTACAACTTCCTCCTGCAGCTAATCATGGCCTGGTTCAGAGCTTCTATGCCGTTTGTTTCATTATTATTAAAGGATAAATATAGAAATGGTTGTCTAGCTCCCTGTTAAATGTGACTTCATGTACTTCAGGAGTGAAGCAACACAGTTATACAGCAGCCTAAGTCATTAGGGGAAATGTACTGTCATGCTAAGTTCCTGTGGTAAGACCACCACATGGCACTCAACAAGCACAAGATTGTCAAGCGGAGTCATTCAGGTTTACACAGACCACAAGCTCACCGCAAACGGTTTCCATCTAAGCTTTTCACAGGGTCTCCATACAGCTGCACACAAAAACCAAGAGAGGGCCAAAGGTCCAAGACACCCCTTAGCTGTTGTCACCTTAAAGTTAGTCATATCACTGCCATCTGCACGCTGACCTCGAAAACGACAGGTCAGCGCTTTCAGCCACAATCAAGCCACATGTCTTAAAATACAACTTAGGATATGACCAAGTCAAAACACTTAGGTAACAAGTGAAACTGCTGGAAAATCAAATACTACTTACCAGAATATGCAACAGGTTCAAAACCAAAGCAACAGCTGGACTGTACTCTTAAATTCAAAAGTTGTATATAAAAGTTGTGCTGAGTCAGCAGTAAGGCTTTCGTCTTCTGAAGATCCCACTTCATGTTTAGTTTATTAAGGTAAACGGCTGTGTCAGTCAAAGTAAGGGTCAACTTGAGATGCAAGCGTAACTTTTGAAATCTTGACCCTGAAAGAACACGCTACTTTCTTTTTTCTATCCAACAAAAGAGCTGGAGTGGATGTTCCACATGTTCCACCATCCCTAAATCCAGATTCTGCCACAGGTCTTTGATGCCAATCTAATGTGGTTGAGCCAAATGTAAGTGTCATATGTGCTACCTCCAAAAACAATGTTTGAACACAATATTAGCCTTAGATCGATGAGGTTTTATTTAATGATGCTTGATTCAAACTATAAATAGTTTAGTATACCGTCTCTGAAAAGTTCCTGTTGAGACTTTTTTTCTTTGAACTGGCACCACATAAATAACACAAAATAATATGAGCTAAAAAACTAAACAAATGCACAACAATAATGACGTTCAGTTTAAATTAACTAATGAGCAGCACCTTCAGCTTAGCAGTGCATTAGTAGACCCTCTATTGGAAAACTTGTCAGTAGGTGTTTGACGAATGCATTCACATTTTAATCAAATAAATGTTAAACTGACTGACTTTAACAGGAAAACGTCATTTTGCTTGCATCCGGGCTGAAGACGGGACTCAATATTTCGGAGATTCGATGGCATGAGGGGGGACAAACGCAGTCCCCAGGAAACGTCCAGGCTGTTGTTTGTCAACAGCAGGGTAGGCCGACGGGAGCAGGATGCTCCGCAGAAGCCCAGCTGTTGGAAAAGAAACTGTGGCTGCCTGGAAAAAGGGGGGGAAACGGTGCGGTACGTTACCTCCTCGGCCTGCAGCCCGTGGCAGAACGTCAGCGTTTTCTCCGGATCCATGACGGGATCTGAACAAAAGGCCAGAAAAAAAAAACGCACCGGAGGGATGTCACACAGTTAAACAGCCCTCACCGCTGTCCCGCAACGTAAACAGCGCATCCTCCCCCTCCCCCATCCCCCCCCCCCCCTCTCCTCTCCGATGGATGGATGGATGGATGCGCCTCCCAGTCTCGGCTCCACACACCGGGGTGTCACTGGTGTGTGTGTGTGTGTGTTTCGGGAGGGGCCTGCGGAATTTCGCGATCTTCGGCGATTATTTGTCAGGGCGAAGAGCAGCGCGACTTTTTCACGAGTAGTTTTTGGTAGAGGGGGGGGGGGGGGGGGCGTGCGTGATGTCATGCCTCCTCGGCCACCGAAGCTGATTGGCCAGAGCTCCCAGCAACAGCCGCGCCGTGGAAACATTCCCCACTTCCAAACATCACCCAAAACTACTGTTACATCAGTTACATGATCCATTACACTAACCGTGTGGGTTTGACATGACATTAAGAGTTTGCCAGAGAGAATTTCAGTCACGTCAAAGTCAAAAGATTGACAAAGTCTTGGAAATAATGTGGATTACGGTTAAAAAAAAGAGGCGCACTTTGGAAATATGAAGCTTATTTACAATTACAAGCCGGTTTATAGGTGGGATTTAATCATCGGGCTGCCATAGAGTTTTAAATTGACCATGTTGTCACGTTTGATAACCTCAAAGATCTCTGAGGTCATTTTTCTGGCCCTCTCTTGATGCGCTGTTAAGCACTATTATTTCTCCTGAGTTTTCCAGTGGCTTTATAGTTACACATCACTAATGAAATGGATGTCCCACAGAACATTTTCCTGCTGTATCATGCAAACGACTTGTTTAGCGTTCAAATTATTAAATTTGTGTGTTACTTTGTCACTCATGGAAAGTCCAGGCCTAAGGAATTAAAATGTCCTAAATCATTTTTGTTTAACTTCTGTTATCTCTGAAATATAAGAAGAAAAAGAGAGAGAGAAAGGTCAAACTGAAAAGCAGAATTGATACATCAATGTTAAGATTATTGAATAGGATTTTTAAGAATATCACAAAGAGGCTGAATGGAATAAAATAAACAAAATTCAGAAATGACTGTAAACAGCTATAATCAAAGATTAAGCACCAAATTCAATCTCAGCAGAAAAAGAAGGAAACAATGGAAATGACAACTTGAGAGGACAAAATATTCATGTTAGGAGTCAGAGGTCACTGAGGACTCACAAAAGACATTTCTGAACAATATCAAGTTCATTTATTAATACTTCTAAAACAAAAACTTTGGACACTTGTCTTGTAAAGTACAAAGAGGAGAGTAACACGTTTTGGTATACTGGTATAAATATAGATTTAAAAAAAGAATCATGTTAAAACTACAATCTTGGAAATACCATACATTCTTCAGACTAAGCCTGTGCCTCAGTTGTAGTTGACATCCTCTGGCCACAAGAGGGCAGCAAACATCTTAATTTTTCATGTCTTTGGGTTCATTGACTTCCTGAAGAAAAGATTCAAGCTCAAGACATCAGCAGTTCGACTTATGTTATGGCTAAAGAATGCAGTAAAGTTGAATATCTTGGGTTTTTTATTGTCCATGTTAGTCTTGACCTCCCTTTTTAATGATGGCCTTTTAGAAATAACATATTTTTGCATATGTCACATATTTTCTTCAGTTAGATTGGTATTACATTAGCATTTTTCATATAGTCGTGATAAATATTTTTATAAATGCCTGGGTTTCCAGGCATTTTGTTCAGCTATCTATATATATGCCAGTTTCTTATTAGCCACATTTTGTTTTGTATCTCATCAGTGAGCCTGAACATGAGATTTAAAAATGAGGACTGCTGTTCGGCCTTTTTCCTGCTGCGGCTGAATTACTATTATCAATTTTCTCAAGCATTAAAAACAAGATGCTTGGACAACGTGCTTGCTTTAGAAAGTATCAAAAGCATTTTCAACATCTCCAGGCTCAATCTGACACATTTAAGACACTCAAACAGGTCCACACAAACACAACAAACTCAGATATTGATATTGACCGACTTTTTATGGCAAACTCATCATTCATTGATATGAAAAGAAACCCAAGTGGAATCTTCATTTCAACAATTTCATAAGCTTATATGAAGTGAAAATGAAAGAAGTAAAGTGTCTTGTAGATACTCAAAATGAAAGTATTTTTTATTTGTCTTTGCAAGGTGAGGTTTGCAGTTTATGATATAATAATGTCTTTATGACTTCTTTGTACAAACCACAAATAACTTTTTAAAGATGTGACCTCCTGGCACATCTCTTCTGCTTTCTCTTAGTTGTATTTCATATCAGTTATCGCTCTATAATTTCACAGAAGGAATTTATACTGCTCAAAGCAGCATGCATACAACAACTTTTACAGTAGAAATTTAAAGTTCATTTGCCAGTGACTGGAGACTTAGATCTGTGTGCTCAGCCTCTTATATTTTGACATACACACATATGTAACAGAATAAACTTTAAATGTATCAACATCCAATTTAAAACAATAAAAATCTCTCTCCTGCTGGCTTGAAAATGTTTATTTGCATAAACAGCTACAGGCAAAATGTCCAGTTATTGGTTAAACTGATAGGATAACAACAGAATGACAAAACACCAAATGTTCAGCAAGAGATCAGATGCTGTCCTGGCCAACAGTTCAGAGATTATATTGCAGACTTTGACCAAAAAATAAACCTTTATACCTTTCCTTCTTATAAGTGCTTGCTAGGTTATTTTACATACCTACCCATAAACAACTAGCACAAGCCCTGACAGTGAGGTCATGCAGGAAAGCAGGCAGGGAAAAGGCCTAGCCAAGCTTCCTTGTCACGTCGAAATCCCTAACAGAAAGTCCAGAAAGCGGCAGGGTTTAATGGTGTGCTAATTCAGGAAATGCAAAGTGGTCTGCTGCTGCTAAAGCAGCATGCTTCTGCCTGCACCACACTGCCAATTCACATCCTGTGCCTTGTTGATATGTGACATTTAAAAATGCCACTGTAAATGACATCCACAGTGCTTAGTGGCTTCTTGATGAACCCTCAATAAAGAAGACAAATTCCATCACTTCACATCATTACTAACCCTTTCCCATGTCAACACAGAGAACATTAGTTTTTTTTTCCCCTCCCTTTTTTTCTTCTTTTGGCTAGCGTTGAAGTTTGGCTTGGTTTTGTGTTGCTGAAAAAAGTAAACCCTTCTCAGATGGAACATTACTGTGCTTCATAGTGACAAATTATTTTAAACATACATCCTCTAGATTTTTCTAAACTTGTCAGTGTGCACTGAAAATAACATCTTTGAAATCGCATGTTTACAGATTTTATCGTGTTCATTTGTCTATTTATTGTTATGAATGTGAGCCATGCTCTGCTTTCTGCTCAAAATCACGTGACTTCAAAATCACATCATTCTGCTTTTCAGTACTCAGTGTCCCGACAATGTTTTGTCCATGTTCAGGTTACTGGTCTGATGCAATTCAGTCACATATTTCCCAGCAACAAAAATAATTTAAGGCCTGACTCCTGAAATCACACCCTAACTCAGTCATTCACAAAACTGCTTTTCAGGGGCAGTTAACAAAAAATCAGACGTTTAAACAGAAGATTTAAGGAATTGTATCAAACATGAAACTGAGATCCTTTGTGAATTGCTCACCATTTTGTCTTCACACCAGTGATGCCCCTAAAATAGAAGTTAACTCATATCAGTCAATGGGACAAAAAGTCAAAAGAAGGGTTTACTTCAGTTCAAGGAAACAAAACCAAAAAACACGATGATGTTGCAGTTTCATTTTTGATAACCTGTAAGAAGTTCTTGTGGGCAAATGAGGGCCATGCTGTACAAAAATTGCTTGCAAAAATTACCCCCTCGAAACTTTGGCCATTCAATAAAGTAAAAAAGAAAAAAAGGGAAAAAAAATGCTAATCAAATGACAGTTATTTTTGACAGTTTGATTGAACTTTGGTTCAAGTTTCGTTGTCTGTGTTTCTGTGGAGATGTCACTGCGAGCTGACTCAGCTTTAACTGCTCCCACACACCACACACATCACTGAAATAGCAGCTGGGCCAGAATACTGCCTATTTACACAGGTCAACAGAATCTGGTAACTGGAATGTTTATTACTTTAAGCATCTCTTAAATTCATGGTGAGCTTTCCTCACAGCTTCCGCCATTTCACTCAGGTTTGACTGCAATACCACACATCCACAGAAACACCTCCACATGTCTGTTGCTGTCATCCTCTATCACCTCTCACTGGTGAAAAGAGTCTAGATAGTCGCTGGCTATAAAATACAGCATATTACCATCACACAAGTAAATGAGCTGGCCCCGTGCTGAAACACAACAGCTGTCAAAGAGGGCTACAAACAGACTACGCCACAAAGCTTTTCTTCTGATGCTTGTTGGAGGATTACACAACTAATCCAGCTGCAAACATTTGACATTATGCTCCAGGGTGCAGCCCCACACCAACCGCACGCAATGCAAATATTGAAAAAATCTTTTTTTTTTCTGAAAATGAAACTATATTACATTAAATTATACTATCACAGCACCAAGGCATGACAAAATATGATAATTTAATCTTTACCATTACCTTTGGTGCATGCAAACTGGTCTGGAGCATTCAGGGGTTTCTTAGTAGAATGCTGATAAGGTCAAATATATTAGCAATGGTCTCAGAAAAACAACTGTTGTCACCCACAAAACAGGACGTGACCATTTTCAAGTGATTTGGAGTCTATTATTCTATAGTGAGACAGCTCATTCTTAAGTCGAAAACATTCCGGGTTTTCAATTTTCCCAGGAGTCAATTCCCGCGCCCCCTGCCCCCCCCAAGTCAGAGGAAGTTTTGTGAAAATGGATCTCAACAGACAACAGCTTTGTTATAGCTATTTCCTTTAAACAGATAAGATTAAACTGAGTGGTCATGATACACAGCACCACATTTGTTGAAAACCAAAACTAAAACGGAGGTAACTTTAAGCATAGTGGTGGAACAGTGGTGATTTGGGCTTGTTTTCCATCAAAGGACCTGGAGACGTAGTCATTCTTTACACCATAATCTGTGTACCTCTTTTGTATTTCAGACTTAAGGCTGA